AATTAAGTCTCTGGTAGACTTAATTTGGTTGCAGTGAAAGATAAGAAACTAATTTGAGGGTGTCCTTTTAGAGTGGCAACTAGTGTGTACATCTGGTATATATTTAGAAAGTAGACAGTTATATATCTGAGAATATATATTTATTTTTGTCTTGTGCAACTTTAAGCATAGCTGCAGGGTATCATTCTAGTCTTCTCATGCCTCACAAATTGTTACTTGATATATTTAATCGAAGTTTGTCAAGCGGAGTTAATTAATGTGTAAACTGCTTTCAATTAATGAGTCACTTGGCCAATTGCCAACGGCGTCAGTGTAACACACTTGACTACTCATTTTGCCGCTGCTGACCTTCAGTCAGTTTATGCGATGATCGTTTGATTCTTATCCAAAATTAGATTAAAATAAAATCATATGTCATTCAATTATTTTGATAGCTGCTGGCAAGCAGAAATAAAATCCAAATTGAGCTCAAGACGTTAGCTGGTAATTATGTTAAGCGGTTTATGCTTTTAATTTGCTAAGACTTCAGCTTGTGCCAGTTAATCTAAATCTTCAGCTTGATCAGCACTGAGAATTCTCCAGCGTTGTCTGGGGTTCAATGCACGTGGCCAGGCCACTCAAGGTTGCCAATTTGGACAACTTTCGAATGGCAATCAAGGCCAAAAGGATCATTTGGCTTGTGGAATGCAGATTTAACTGCACTCTGACGTCAGTTAACTTCCAGTTTTTCCGCAACTGGCCGCCAGCAAAATGCGGAAGTCTGCAATGCAAAAAAAAAAGTGAAAAAACCGCTACGCATGCGCCAGTTAAACTCGTTTCGATTTATTAGCCCGGCCCAGAGGCACGCACTTGGCTCGCAACGCAATGCAACACGTTATTGACCTTGATTTTGTGTGTGTGTGCAACTAGAATGGGTGAGCTGGTTGCAGAGGGGCTGCAAACTGGTCCAGTGACACTAAAAGCCCCATTAATACCTGACGCCTATTAAAATGACGACAAGCAAAGTCAAAAGCGACACAAATAAACAAATAAATGTTACTCGCATTTCGAAATGAAATGGAAATCCAATTGCAGAACTATCTGAAATTTGTGGCAGATGCGCATTTAGAAAAGAAACCCGGCTCGCTATTAACGCGTAATTATTTATCCTGCTCAAATTACAACAAATTATCGAAAACTGTCTGACTTTTGAGCAAAATCGCTGGCTGGGTCAGCCTCTTAGCTATCAAATCACCATCTCTACATGTGAATCCTCTGTGAATCCTCTGTGAATCCTGTGATTCACTGGGGGCTTATCTGTGCCTCTTACTCTATATAAGTCTGGTCTCGTATCGTATTACTCTCGACGCTCTCTCAACAAGTTTAGCGAGTTTCAGTTTTGACTTCTGGGCGATCGCTTGGCGTTGATAAGCGTTTTGCATTCAATTTCTGCTCAAGCAAGTCGAGCTCCGAGCAGAATAGATTGTTAACCTTCTAACGTATGGACTTATGTCCCAAATATGTGCATGTATGTGTGTGTATCTGTGAGTGTGTGTGTGTGTGAGTGTTAGTGTGCACAATGCGAAAGAGTCGACATCAGCGTTGACTCGCTCGATTTTCCAACAACGCTCGACTGCATCTTAAATTACAAATAATCGCAATTGTCTGCGTTTTTAGCTAGTACACTTGGAGAAAAATGCTGCTTGAAATTCAACAACACAGCATATAGACTTTCTAATGCTTTGTAGTTTACATCTTAATGTCATTTAATTTTAAAATATTCTTAAATAGTTGCTTTTAAAATCTAATTAACAATTGATTTTCTTAAGAACGGAAATTCTTCAATTACAAAATGTCTATATATTATATATATTTTTTAAATAAATGTATAATTTTATATTTTTGAATATCAGAATATAAGTAATTGATTTAAGCTGTTTTATTTTATTTTAGTACTTGTTCAATTTGTTCTTAAAGATTTTTAGATGAGCATAGCTGATTGATTTTTTGAATCTAGCAAATAGTTTTCATGGAATGAAAACTTTCTGAATCAATTACAAAATACTCATTCTGATACTTTTGTGCTTAAGAGAAGTTTAAAGTTTTCTAGTTCTTAAATTCAAAAGAATTTTAGAATGACAGGATCGATTCGCTTTGGAGCATTCTTGCATACATAGTCAAATACTTGATATAAGCTGATAACTAATAAATGAATAAATAAGAAATGGCTTACATAAGCATACATAAGCTTACATAACAGCACAAGCATAGTATTTTCAATTATGACTGTATTTGATTATTAAATTCTATATTTATTGTTTTGAGTGTAGTCTTTGGTTTTGTATTTGGGATATGTGTTTGGGTGGTGGCAGCAGCTGAAATAATTGAGAGACAACGCAAAATTAAGAGAGATGATATGTGCTGCTATTGTTGATTGTTGTTGTTGCTGTTGTTGGATGTTTTGCATGCAATTTGTACAAAATGGATAGTCAGATAGGGCAAGCAGGCAGGCAAGCAGGCAGGCTGAAAGGAAGGCTGGCAGTCAGGCAGCAACCCCTCAACCTCAACCCTCATTATCATTGTGATTAACTCGCGAGAAGTGAAAGCAACAAAATAAAAGCCTTTGCCGCCGTTGCACAATAAAAACAACAAAGCTGCGAATTTTTCTAAAAATCGAAAATCGTGTCTACGCCTTTGGGTGGCAATATCGTCAACAGCATCAGCAACGAGGCAAACGCCTCGAAATCAAAAAGGCAGCTCAACGAAACGTTGCAATCGTTTTGATCGAGCAGCACAAACAACCCTCCCAATGAATGCTATATACATATAAAAAAAAAAATATATATATAGATATATATTTATATATATGCTGCACCCTCTAGGCTAATCCAAATGAACAGAAAAACGCTGAGGCGATTCCTTGCCAGTTTCTGGCCTTCATCAACGCCATTTGCTGTTGCTGTTGCTGTTGTTGTTTGTCAACTGATTTAATTTCCTGGCTGTTGCCACTTTCAGAGAGTACGTTGGCCCGCCTGCTGTGAGAGGGCGTGCACTGTTTGCTGGTCACACTAATGACAATATAGCACAACAACAATAACAACGATATAGCAGCAAAAGACTTTGAAAAGGGCAAAATTGTGGTGTGTAAATTGAAATGTTTCTACTTGAAATCCGCACTCGACCACATGCGGCTGCTTAGTGCCGGCCAAATGATTAAGGCTCGTATGCAAAACACACACGGTCTCATTAAAATATGAAAAATACGTTTTTCCGATCTAGTAATTAACGCTAAGTACTAAATACAACACACACACACATACACAATACATACACGTGTCGCCAGCAAAGCGATAAAAAACACAAAATACACCTCAACACCAGTTCATAAATTATGCAAACACTGGCGTGGGTGGGCGCTCCACAAATGCAACATGCAACAAAAAAAATCACAAAGAACTACAACAACAACAATAACAACTGCAGCCAGCTGTTGGCCATAAAGGAAAAAAAACGCTCAAACAATGCCTTTTACTGACGGCATTTCAAACAACCAATAAATTATTGAAGCCAAGCGCCAAAGTCAAACAAGTCAAAGACATTGCGTCAACAACAACCGCAACAATAATAGCAACAATTGCAACAACAACTACAACAATTACAACAATTGTAAATATTTTATGGACAACTTAGAACTGTTGCCAAGCGTTATTCGACCACACCATGAATACAAAACTTGCACAAAAGTCCAAGCTCGTGATATAAATCAACATTTGCAGCTTTGTTAATGCCTATTTATAATGCTTAACAAACCTGCAACAACAGCAATAACAGCAGCAATAACAACAGCAACAAAAACATTAACATTAACAACAAATAACTGAGCAACACCCGCGCTTTTATTGGTTGTAATGGGCAAATTTCTTAATCTCAATCCGATTCAAAGCAGCGCCAGCATTCTGAAAATATAATTACAACAATTCTGCAATTTAAATACCCTAACTAATCAATACGTGTGAATCTTAGCTTAAAGTTGCTACAGTAAAGCTATTCATTTTATTTTAAAGGTTATTTGTTATAAAAAGGTTGAATATTGTTCTTAAAATTATACTTCAAATAGAACTTAAGCTTATAATAGAATATGTATACTTATTTCTAGGTAGAAAATAGTATATTACTTTTACATACATATTACTTGTGTCTAATATTAAGTTCCATATTAATTAAGAAGGAAGAAGAAATAAAAAATATATTAAGCTATGGCAAATATTTCTCTTTAAAAGTTGTTCAAAGAATAAATTGCTGAAAATTAAATACAAAATAACCCTGCCTTCAGCGAGCAAAATTGAATCTTACAAAATGCACACCCTAGCTTCAAATAAAATAGTTACGAGTAGCAAAACTGAGAGTGCATATAATCATCCACATAAGCAATATGCAGACATTAATTCACCATCGATTTATTTTGAGTATTTCTTGCAGTTTTGTACATTTGATTTGGTTGCTGATTGCCAATTTGATTTGGGCAAACTAAAAAATGATTGCCACAAAATTGCAACATGCAGCGAGAAGAACAACGGGCAGGGATATTGATAATATCAAGGAATTGCCAACATATAGAGTTGATATATTTTAGACTTAACGCTCGACTTGGGGGGGACTTCAACTTAAATGTAAAAATAATTAAAAAATAGTTTAGCTGAATAGCATAGAAAGCAAAAGTAGCCGCTAAAAAGCGAAAGAGCGCTAAACTGGTAAAACAGCTCTTGCCACAACAACAACAACAATAACAGCAGCAGCAACAACAAAATTGACTTATTGGAGCACTTAGCTCAATTCTTGTTATTGTTACTGTTAACACACACACACACACACACACACTCGTACACACACACACACACATATACATATAATGGAGCTACTGCCTAGGCGAGCCATGAGTTGCTGTCTCTGCGAGTTGTTCCAAGGTTTTCCCAGCTAGCTGGCTGACTATAAAAGCTTGGGCGGCAACATTGCGGAAGGCAGTTCACTTACAAAACCCATTGCCGTCACTCTGCCAACTCTAAACTCCTTGTTAACGGACTAACTCATACAATATATATAAATATATTGTATATAAAACACGTAAAGGCGCCGCATCGCGTGTGATTCCCCCCAATTCCCGATTATCGTGCAGTTTACGTTGTAGCTTTTTCAAGGATAAACCCAAATAACAAATATGTTTCGCTTTGTGAGTTGATATATACACTTGTGTGTGTGTTTGTGTGTGTGTGTGTGTGTGTGTGCAGGTGTGCTAATTGTTATATCTTTTAGCTCGCATTAACCACACTCGTCAGTCTGGCTGTGGGCCAGAACTATCACCAGGATCCCAAGACGGCGGCCATTATTAGTGAGCAGCGTTATTTGTCTGGCGATGGTAAATTTGGTGCTGCCTACACACAGGAGGATGGCATCAATTTCAAAGAGGAAACCGACTCGGATGGCACTCGCCACGGCAGCTACAGCTATGTGGATCCATCGGGCCAACGTCGCACCATCTCGTACACAGCGGGCAAGAATGGGTAAGTCAGCGAGATCATTTATAAATTGAATTCTGATTTAATTAAAAATGTAATCATAATTTTTGATTTGCATTCCAACAGCTTTCAGGCGTCGGGTGATCATTTGCCAGTGGCACCACCTGCACCACCACAGCCCGTGCCCACTTCGGGCTATCAGCCACAGCAGCAGTACCAGCCACAGCAGCAATACCATCAGGCACCACAGGCTCCGCAATCCTCATTCCGTAGCAACGACTATGGCGATGATGGTTCCTACGATACACGCTACAATGATCCCTCTTTCGGTCAGAGCCAGCAGTCGTATCATCAGCCTGCTCCTCAGCCACAGTATCGTCCGGCACCGGCGCCAGTGCAACCCTCGTATCAGCCAGCACCACAGCCCACTTACCACCAGCCCGCTCCTCAGCAGCAGCAGTATCAACAGCCACAGCAGAATTATTATACGACAACCACACCGAATCCTCATCGCTTTTCGCCACCTGGCAAGCTGTCGTTGAATCGTACTCCGGACGGTTTCACCTACTCCTTCAACAAGGTCTAAGCGCTGGAGAGAGAATCACATAGATTGAGCTCGTTTCTAATTGTAATCTTATGTAATCTTTCATTTATTCACGCTATCCCCCACTACAGCTCCTATGTCTCTCTATATATATATATATGTATATCTGTCTCTCTCATTCTGTCAGACTATTTCTTCTTTGTCTTCTGTTTTCTATTCAGTTCTTAACTTCATCAAAACTCTTTTGTGATATGTCCAAGAAAGAAAATGAATTGAAAAGCTCCTAGCAGTTTTTGCTTGTAATTTAGAATACTCCTCCTCAATACTCAATACTGTTTAAAAAACAAGAACAACACATCCCAATTCCACTGTCCTAATAAATTTGTAAGTGTGTGCGGTCGAAGAAGACGTTAAAGAAAATGTTATAAGATGTTTTAATATCTAAACGGGGGCCACGGGACGTATAAGCAATATAAGTATTGTATATATTGTATGATAAACAGTTGTATTTACCATTTTATAGACACTTAAGCAATACATATATGGATTCTGACGTGCCGCAAGCAATAATTATTTTTATTTCAATTCTCATTTTTTCTTTTTTTAATAACAAGTTTTGTTTTTTTTCTTGGGCGTGTGGCGTTTGCATGTAATTTAATTTTGAACAGATTTATCTGCAACACCTTGCCCGGTAAACGCCCCCATGGACATTACACAACCGACTTTCATTATATATATATACATATGTATATAGATATACCAGCGACACAATGCGAAACAAGTTTTTGGGCTGTGGCTCGGATCGATTCTATGCAACAAACAAGGAAAGACATCAAAACGGGTTTCCAAATGTGCAAATTGTGCAAAGAAAAAAATAATGTAGGAAAAATACACTGAATTCCAATTGAAAATAAAATCAAGTGCCTCCCCCACAGCTCCCGCGGCAATCCCTCCCTAAGAACCGACAATCTATCTATCTATCGGTGAGCATGTGGACTTGAGTCTATATTTAGATATATAACACCAAGTACCATATGTAAACTAAGCCATACCCACTTTAAATTCCTAGCTACAATAAAGTATATATTATGCCAAGGCAATCCTTTTTCTATCCACATTTGATTACAGGTTCTTATCTACATATTAAGTCAACAATTAAAATTTGATTCAGTTGGGCTTAATCTATTTAATGATAGACCATATTCATATGTAATGCTTGGGCGCAAATACAGCTGCAGTCAAAATAATATGAGTGCATACAAAAAAAAAATTCAAATATAGTAAAAAAATAAAAATAAATAAATATTGTTAACACAAGCAATAAACACTGAAGATAAGTAAATATTGAAGTATACAAATATTTTTAAAAAAATTGCGAACTAAAAAAGAATTAAAAATTGATTAAAAAGGTCCAATGAAACGAATATGAAAGGAGCTATAAAAATATTAAGAATTAGCATTTTATAAATCATCAGTATAATTATTTTAACCGCAGCTGTATGATTCAATGGATTCAAATTATGATGTAAATATATGCACACTAGAAAAGTCAGATAGAACTGCACTTTTAGGTATGCCACAGATTAAATACGCTTACTGAACGGAGTTTACAATTTCATTACAAATGTAAAAAGCTGACCATTATTAACAATTGAATTTATTTGGATATACATATCTGAATACCTTTCCACATCGATGCGCACATTAAATATGAGTTCTTATAATAAGCAACTGTCTTAGATAATTGCATACCGTATGCAACTTTATTTGCCATTCGATTGGACACGCTTCAGTTGTTTTATTGTAATTCGTTAATTATGCGATAAGATTTTGAGCTATTTACTCAATTATATGCCTCATCGGTTTCCCTTGTAGCCCCCTTGTTGCTCAAGCTCAACAGGTGTTGAGTGCAGCCCCAAGTTTACTTTTCTTTTCTGTTCGCGGGCATTCTTTCGACTCTTGGGTTTGGATTTGGATTTGCTTTCAAGGTCAGTTTTGTTGTTGTCGTTGCGAATCGAAGTCGGCTAAAACTACGAGTATATTTCTGTTGAAATTGTTCAGTCAATTAAGAAAATCAATTATGCTTTGTTTGGCTCTTTTGCAGCTACTTTTTTAGTGTCGATATTGTGGCAATAATTGTATCGCTTGCTCAATTTTCGATTTTCGAACACAATTTGCGAAAGAGGTAAAAGCCAAGAATTTGATACGGCCACTTTGGGATAATCTTGGGTGATTGAGCAGCCCGCATTGACAACAGGTGTCAGGGTTTTGCATAAGGCTATTTTTACGAGTTGAATCATTTAACTCGTAACATTTATAAAGTCATATTTGTTGTGTGGGTGTTTTTTTATAAACATAAAGCGGATACTTGAGTGTGTTGAACCCATATAAATATCGAGACTCTAAATTTAAGCGTTAACAAACGAGCATTATGCAAATTGTGTGAATTGCAAAACATAATTACAAATCGGGGTAAATTTATCACATTTTCATATTTATTAAATTCGTTTTCAAACAATAAAATTGAACAATTTAAATGAAATTACATATACGATTAACTAGCGCCATCTAGCGCGGCCAAAGCATTAGACGAACAGCAGTTCAAACTTCTTTAGGCAATAGATGGCGCTTTTATAGCGCTATAGTATAGCGTTGCCACTAAATAGCAAAGACAACAACCTTAAACACAAATTTATTAGAATGAAAATCAAAATAACATTTGTATAATAAATTTTGAAACAAATATTAGAGAAATTAAAAAATAGAGATGTTTTTCGCATTGATACTAACTCACTTGAAAATACTTGATCTGCAGAGAGAGAAATTAATATTTGATTCATATATCGCCAACAAAATGAAGGAATCAAACTTGCAGAAAAAAAGTAACCTTTTCTTTACAAAATCCAAGCAGCTGAAGTTAAAGCAACATTTCAATTCACAATTTACATAGGAAAAAGACAGTTCGGTTAAATATAAAGTCAAAGGTTCACTATATTTACAGAACTATAGTAAAAGTCTATACACACAATAAAATACATATTTAAATTAGTAAAGAATCTAAGACTAACTCCATCGGATGTTCATTCTCACAATCTCACACATTGATAACCAGGGCTGATCTGTACTTTCGCTTCGGTTTGAGAATATGTTTGGATTTTGGGGCACGTTTCAGTTCGATGCCGGGTGGACGTCTGTGGGGTCGACTGCCTTTGATTGAATGCAACGGGGAACGTTCTCCACTGAAATTGTTGTTGTTGTTGTGCAACGGACCGGGTCCCGAGAAGCTTGGGGGAAATGTCTCAAAGTCCTCGAGATCCAGATCGGGTCGCTGCTCATGCGAATTGGATTTGAGATACTTTTGCAACTTGGGATTGTTGAGTAACTGCATCTTGATGGCCTCGTCGAGAAGCTTCTGTTGATCCTCGAGGTAAGCCTCAACCTGTTTTTTGGACGCAACGCTCTTGTAGCGATCGTGGTTCTTTGGCCGCACTTGTGGCGCCTCATAGTCATCGTGATCCGTCTCGAATACCCGGTAATCGTGTGAAGCAGCTGTCGACTTGGGCGGCGGCACCAAATGGATGGGATCTGCATCGGACTCATAATGTGCCGGCACCCATTTTGAGCGCTTGGCTGGTGGCTGTTCCTCCACAGAGTGAATATCCGAGGCGAAACCTGAATGCCCGCTACTCTTATAGGGTGCAACAGCAGCATATTTGTGCTGCTTGTTGTACGACGAACCAGAGTTGAGTTTCTTGGGCACCGATATGGGATGTTGGACGCGGATCTGGGTGCCTATCGTATACTCGCGACTATCCTGTGCCGTCTCACCAGAATATTCACCCGAATAACGCTCGCTGGAATAGTCATCCTCCTCCTGACAAAAAATTTAATTAAAATTTGATTCATTTAGTTTAGGGCAGTCAGTTTTAAGGGAGTATTCCGTTGACTGACCGATGTGTATGGCCTGTAGTGAGTTTTCTTCAGACTCTTCTTTTTTACATCGCGTCGCTTGCTCTCATTGGTCTGCAGATCCCAGCGATAACTGGGCGGTCCTTGAGGCGCTGTCAGCAGACGCACGGGTCCAGGTGGCCCCGCCGAGTTGTAATAATTCCGACGATAGAACGGTCGAGGCGATTTCATGCCGTACGCAAACGAACACAGCAACAGCACACCGGCCAAAAGCTGTAAGTACATTTGCAATAAATATACAAAGAAATTTTGAGTACGCTTCAATTCCCTAAAAACCAGAAGCCAAACCATACAAATTATGTGGGCAACTGAGTCTTGAAAGTGGCTTGGAAGAAACTTCCATGTTACTCCCAGATACAAATTAATTTAAAAAAAAAACTTTTAATCATATTGTACAGATAATAACTAATCTAAAGGAGTTGAATTTTTATAATTTCATATTTTTATAATTTCATATTTTTATAATCTAAATCAATAGCTATGTCTATATGGCAGATCTGAGCACAATATTATATTATTGCTTTAGAAATTACTAATCATGTTTTTTAAAATTTATATTTGTAAGTGTTCAATTAGAGATGGGCTCAGGTTAATTATTAGATTCCTTCTGTTCAGATTATTTTTAGATTAAAATGCTTCTAGCATTCAGCAAAAAATATTGGTATACCAAATCATATATGTAGCTCTCAAAATGAACAAAATGTATTGCTCGAACTGTGGAGATATCCAAACGATATTAAACTCACAAGTTTGCATTTAAAGCTTAAAAAAATTTTGAGCACTATATTAGATAGTTGCCATCAATTGTTACTCGCAGTTGTTGTTTCTCATTAATTGTAAGAAATTTAAAAAGCACTGAACTGAAGTCCACTAGGATAGTTTATCTATGGCTTGCCGATAGATATCTTAACTGAAGTCTTTAACAACAACTCAAGTGACAAATAAATAAATTCCTTTTGCTTACATTCCAGCACAGACGCATTTTGTGTGGAGTTTTGTTTGGAGTTAACACTTAAACTTCACTCGCCGAGTCTTAGTTGATATTTCTTTTTTGGTTTCACTAACGAAATGGTGAAATGACTGAAAATACTGTTAGGTCTGGTGCTCCACGTCTTGAGCAGCCGCGTGGCCTTCACGAAACTGAAAGTTGAAGCAATGGACGCAACGGTTTTATGCCAACTTCCTTCCTAGTTTAACGGGCCAGAAAGCAAAACGCTGGCGCAACAACATGTTTTGCAAGCTGCCCCAAGACGACAAATGTGGCCAACGAGACGAACACAAGCGATTCAAATCGGCGAAGCTGCCTCTCAACTAACTCCAGTTGAAACTATTGCTGATGCTGCAATTGTCAGCTGGACCAGCCAAAGCAGCAGCAGCAGCAGCAGCAACAGCAGTGGCAGTGGCAGTGGCATCATTTGCATCTGACAGTAGGAAATGGAGCACAAGTCATAAAAAATGTTGTTTATGGCCGTGTAATAACTGCAAACATTACAATTTATTTAGTTTTTTGTGAGTGCAGCAATTAAGTAATTCACACTCTAAGCGCAAAATGATTGTCTGCGAAGATTGAAGTGTACTTTAGGTGTGCCTCGAGCGAGCTTCAACTGAGTTATTCAGTTATTGAATCAATTTAAATTTGGTTGGCAATAAGTGCAGAGAGAGAGGCAGAAAGCAAAAAAACAATCTCTTAAGATTGACGCTTGAATCAAGAACTTGTTTTCAGATCGCTGATAGGACAATAGTTTTGCCCAGCTAATATTATTTTCATTATTAAGTAATTATTGAAAATATTATAAAATTGTATATATTTCTTTCATATATTTAAGTTTTTATTATAAATATTATTGAAATTGTTACTATTATTTTTATATGAATAAAAACAAAAATCTTTTCAATTAATTTAAGATATTACATTCTCGAGTTGATATTTGCAACATATTGAGTAGTTTACATTTTTTTCCGTCAGTGTATGTATCTCTTTCTTTATTTGCGAACGTGTCTTATTAGCTGGGCCAAAACAAACAAACACAGAGGCAGAGGCAGAGGCAGTCTTTATCTAGCTGTTAGATCTCTTGGCTATTTGGCTTTCGTTAACTGGTTTGAAGATGTGGTTGCTAGCAACGCCGTGCGTTACTCAATATAAACATAGCTGTTTCCACTTGCACTTTTTTTTACTCTTTTTGTTTGGCCTGAAGTTCAGGTTCAGCTGTTGCCAGGAAATTGTGGCGGTACACGTCTTGGCCTTTTGGTTGGGCTACTTTCTAGCATGGACAGGATGCAACAGGCCACAAAGCACAATGCGGAAGTCCTGTCCTGTCTTGTCTTGTCTTGTTTGGCATCGTGGTAGGTGGAAGTTGAAAATTGGAATTGAAAATGCAATTGACTGGGCAACAACCAATGTACAATTGCATAACATTTCAACTAACGCCATTTGAAACTATTTTCCTTTATCCGCTCATCCTGCTAGTTTGCTTTTCTTCCCTTTTCTTCACTTTTCTTCTCTTTTCTTCTCTTTTTTTGTTTTAAACACTTACAAGCATGCCTCTAATTAAGTAGCTGTAGCTTAATGACACCTTGATTGTTGCATTTGCTGTTGCAAGCACAATTATCCAATTTCCAGCGATTGATTGGCAGTTGGCTTGATTCAACATTTCCCCAACCAATTTCCCAGGCAAGGTCAAGTTTAAGTTCAAGGCGCGTGACAATTGCAAAAACAGCTTTTCATAATTTCTGTTTTCCTTGTTTAAAATCAACTCTCTCAGCTGAGCCAGAGTTTGAGCCTGGCTCCGAGCTGGTTTCAGTTCCGTTTTTGAACAGCACAAATTGAATCTACGCTTTTTGGTGAAATGAAAATGGAAATGAAAATGTTCAGGTGAAAGGCTCTTTTTCAATGCCAGCCTCTGGCAATCCCTGACTGCCTTTGGCAGTTCAAAATTAAGTTGACTTTTAATTTCAGCTATAAATTTAACAATTATGCGTTAAAATTAACTTTATTCTTTAGCTGGCAATTTATTTATTGTTGGTCGTAATTTATTATGCCATTATGTTTATTTGACATAAGCTTGTAAATTTGTAAGCACCAAAACAAAAGCTATTTCAACAAGCTCAAATGGAGCGCAATACATATATGTTTTATGATTATTGTCAATTCCCTTTACTTCCCCAGTCAAATCTTTGTGAAAGCTTAGTTGCGTGCATCAAAGTAATATCTTTTGGAGCCGTAATATATATGTAGATGTCAACAGCTGTGAATTGTCACAAATATATAAAAGCCTTTGCTCTTTAATGTCGACATAACAATAAACTAACTTAATTTAACGAGTAATTTTACAAGAAATTTGGCACACTTTTCCAATAAACATACTCCACAACTTTTTAAGTTCAAATTGGCTATCATAGAATTAATTCTGCAAAAAGTCTTCATCGAAAAAGGTTTCCGATTAAGTAAATACACTGTTTTTAACAAAGGGATATTGACATTAGAATTCCAAGCTAGAATTCAAATAAGTTGATTAAAATATAACATTTTAATACGATAAATATGTAAGCTAAAACTTTAACTAAGTAAAGTAAGGGCTTCTAACTCTTGATTAGATATTTATATACTCTCCACGCTGGAGATAAACATGGAATTAAATCTCTGACATTGTGAGATCTGTTAACGTGCGCAAATAACAAGACTTTAAATTGAAAACATCAAAATCATATTTCACGAAAATGTATTACAAATTAATCCATCCTAAACCATAACTTAATCCCACATATATAGTCGGAATCATCACCAACAGCCGAGTCTAAAAGGCAATGCATATCTAAATAAAAATATATAATGAATTTTGTTATTTTCAATGTTTAGACTTCAGCATCTAAAATGTGTACAATATTTGATAAGTACTGGGTATATCCACGTCGAGCTTTCAAGCACAGCTGCCTTACAATTTTATTTTCACACTCCTAACATTTTTATAGAACTGCTCTAAATTGGACTGCGACTTATAATTTGTTAGCTTGAATTTATAAATCATGTGGATCTCTGACATTTTTAATTGCTTGAGCAAATTATTTCTGTGATTGTGCCAAGAAACCGTCAACGAAATGAAGCGAAATTGAAAACCGGAACAGTTTTGTCCACAGATATACATACGTTATTATTATAGCTTAAGAGATTTATTGGCAAACAAGCTAATTGACTTGAAATAGCTACCCAATGAATAAGTTGAAATAAATTTGATGATGTAGCCACAGTGTTTGATTAGCATTTTTATTATTCTTTTTCTTTTCGCTCGCTTAAATAACTAAATTAATACATTTCAAATGCCCAATAAGATTGAATAACAACCAGCATCAAAACAACAATAGTATCTACCAATTATATTGGGCAAGATCATTAGCACTATGAATAGTTTTTATTCCACTCAGTTGGCGGTGCTTGTTTTTTGTAATTTTGATGTGGGTGAAGTCAGATAATCGATGAAGCTCTTAAGTTGTCGCTGCCGGCGTCACAGTCGCCGTCGCCGTCGATGTCGCATTAGCAGCAGCAGCAGCAACAGTTGATGCATTCAATTAACTCGACACGACGCCAACTCAATGGATTGCATTCAATAAACACATATATCAAATATCGCGATGTACACTCACAGAAATAGTAGTGCGCATTGTACTCAAGAACATGACGAAATTCTTTATATAAGTTAGAGTTTTTTGTAGTAGGTCAAACTATTTGTGGTAAGCTGAGTACAATTGTTCACATTTTAAAACCGTTTCTTGTTAAGATCTTTCTTAAATTATTTGAATTATTTGAAGTAAGAATACCACTTTTATTCTTTAATTACTTTAAGGAAAAGAGATTAAGACTATAATTTTAAGTACGCGTGCGTGTTAGTTCTTAAATAAATGAATATCCTCTGGAAAGCAGCAAAAGCAATTTATTCCATTTGTGATTAAAAATTGGTAATCATTCAAACATTTTTTGTGCTTTCAATTTATCATTTTGAAACTCAGAATTATGCATATTTATTTTAAGAAGAAAAAGTTCCACAAAGTATTCCGTCAGCAAAATATTTCATAAAAAAATAACTGAATTATTTGAAGTATGATTACTTATGATTCTTAATATATATATATATATATATATATATATATTCAAATATACTGCATAATTATTTAAGAATGTTTAAAATCGATTTATGCTTGAAATCTTGAGACGAAAACATTAATCATTTTGAAATCAAGAGTTATTTAAAATTGATTTATGATTGAAATTGTAAGAAGAATTAAATTAAGAATTAAAGTTCTTAAATATTGAACTTATTCCATTTATGCTTAAATTGAGCATTTTGGATTGGTTTCAACTATTGTTTGAGTTTTCAATTGTGCATTTTGAAATCGAGAATTATGCATAAGTATTTCATATTTATAGCCGATTTGATCTTGGAATTTGAAGCAGAAAACATTCAAAATTGTCTTCAGTCTGCACTTGAATTTAGCACCACACTTTTTCGGCGAGTGTACGTTGCGTGTATGTTTTTATTTTATTTGTTTTTGTTGCCATCTCAGTCTGGCAAACCGACGCTGACACGCTGCCCGGCCGAACTGCGACGCGCAAGTGCCGACTTCGACGTCGACTGCACAGCGGTGGCACCCACATCAACAACCAAAGCGTCGCCGTTGAAGCAGAGACTGCTGCGCAGGTGTTTGCGTGGGTCAGAAAGAGACAGCGACGACGCCTCCACACCAGCAGCGGCAACAGTTGCTGCCGTCGTTGCTGATGTTGCTCGTGTGTCATCAAAATTGTGCTGAGCTCTCATTGTTCTCATCGTTGTCTCCGGCAATATTTTTGGCGAGACTTTCCGTGTGGCCCTGTCGTGATTATTGCTGCTGTTGTTGTTGTTGCTGTATTCGTTATAATTATTGTGACTTTTTTTATTATAGTTATTTAATGATTTTATATCGCGACCAGTTTCCTCATATGGAGCTGTCTGTTGCTGTTGTTGGTGTTGCTGATGTTTGTGTTGCTGTTGCTGTTGGCCACTTCCTGTGCGCATATTTGGTTGCAACTGCCTCGGTTGACGCTCGTCTGGCTCATAGTAGGCATACTCGGCTGCCTCCTCGTTGTAGGTGACATGCTTTGGACTCCGCACTCGCAGCAACCGCATGCCATTCTCCACGTAATCCAAGTGGACATCATCCACAACTTCAATCGGAGGTTGCTTGAGTATTTTCTTGGGCACTCGTCTGATAGGTTCATATTGCTCCCGTTGCCATTGCTGGCCATCGTTGAGGGGTTTCTTGGTGACGAGCGGCGGCAATTGTTGCTCCCGTTCGACGCTCAAATGACGCACATTGTGCTTCACCTGCAACTTGGGACTGTTCTTGGAGTTGAGTTCCATTTCACGTTTGTTGTTCATGTCCATTTTGGGACGTCTTGTGTTGTTCTGCGTTGGTTTGCCTTCATTGCCGTTGACGTAATCATAGAATTGTATTGTGGAACTGTAGGCTTGTTTACGTTTCGCCGCACTCGGATCGATCTCATCGACATCTTTGATGGGCGGCAGTGGCTGTGGGCGTGGCACGGTGTCAACATCAGTCAGTTTGGGCGTCACTTCGCGTCGCCTGTGGCACGGCAAACGGGAGCGATTGTTGCTGCTGGTGCTGCTGCTGTTGCCCTGGCTGGGCTGCAAATTGTCATAGAATTGTATGGAGGACTTGGCGAATTCCTTGTGGAACATTTGACGCGTATCCACTTCAGGCATTGAGGCATCCGCCTGAAACGAGTTCACTCGTTGCACATGCCCCACACGTGGTCGTTCCGTCTCCAGTTGCAGACTGTTCCTTCGCTTCACTCGGGTCTCCAAGGCACTATCGACGCGGGTGTCATCGGGCCAGAAGAAGTGCGACTCTTGACGATTGCGTCCGTTGCCACATTCTCGTTCCACCATTTTGGGCGGCAGCCCTGTATAAAATTTGCCATTGATCATGCTGCCAAGCTGCCTGCGAACGCTCTGAGCCCCAAATGCCAACTGAAAAGTGTTGTAAACAGAACCCAAGTTTGGCTCACTCAACTCAGCTCAGTTCTGGTCGTAGGCGTTCAACTTGATGGCGATGCTGGCGGCGCTGCTCGGCTCAACTAATTTGCAATTCTTGCGAAAAACAACATAAAAATCAAACAACAACAACGAAAAATCATTTCAAGTCAATTCAATTTATTAGCGACTGCGCTGCTAACTGCACTCGGAAAAAAGTTCACACTGCATTTTAAAAAATTAGCCCCAAAACCAGCAAGTTATTCTTGTTTTTGAAATAATTTATAAATTAAGAAAAATAAATTTCTAAAAACTAGAAAGGCTTGCAATAAATCAGCAATACACAAATTATGTTGATTTTTCTTCGTTTTTTTTAAGGTGAAAATCCTTTCTAAAATTCAGAAACAATTAATAAGAAAAATAACCCAAAAATTAGATGTATTTTTCAAAATTTATAAAAATTGTTCACTGCAATTAAGAAACGAAAAAAAAAACAGGTTCTTAGAAATATACTTTAATGAATTTCTAAAATGTAGGTCAATTTTTTTTCTTAGTGTTCGACGGCGACTGCAACGACGAGTTTCCGTTTAAGGTCAACTTGCCGCATTTTTCATTAAAAAAAAACTAAACGAAAAGTTGTTTTTCGTTGTCCAAAATGTTTGCGCTTATATTTTCTGATCTGCGAGCCGCCAACTTGTCTTCACAATTAAGCCAAAAAAAGTCGACTCTAAAAGTGGCTCAATTCTGTTTGGTTTTCTTTTGGCCGAGAACAGCTGCCAATTATTGTCTGCTCAAAATGGGAGTAATGTGTTAGATTTGGCATTGCTTGTAACTGACAATAAGTATCTGTATGTCAGCAGTTGGCTTTTGTGCACAACTAAAAATGATTGAATGACAAGTGGCGCAACAATCTTGATGACTTAGCTAAAGTTGCAAAAAAAACGAAGCTTTTGATGTAGAACTTTCAGTTTTTAAAGAGTTCGTTTTTAAATGAGCTAAGTAAGCTCTTTAGAAACCATTAACACTGATTTGTGATTGTGCGGCGCTGCTAACTTTTGTGCTGTAAAAAAGCTAATTTAATGTGGAAATTATATAATGAAAAGATTAAAAAAAACAAGTTGAAATTATATAGTCGACGAGAATATTAACTGCATCCAGTAGTTAAATTTGTTGTGGGTAAAGTAGGTAAAAGTCAGTCGTTTAATTTAGGAAAGAATAAGGAAAGAAATTTGCACAGCTGTTTTTGGCATATTATATATCAATTAGAAGGCCTTGTCCCTAAAATTGTGTCTTTTATTCCTTGAACTTGATCTGATTGTGGAAGATGGCAACCTACTTCTTATGAACTCTGAGATCGTCGTATTTATATAGACAAACAGACAGGCATGAATTGATCGACTCGCTGGTTCTTCTATTTGTAACATAGTTGTACACAAGTTCAGTAAACCTTCTACCATTTTTCAAGGGGTTCAGGTTATAAAAAACAATACAGACAACTCCCATTAGCTATTCCCCATTTTCATTATTTAATATCTAGATACATTTTTGTAAGTTTTCTATTACAAATGTATCTTCATGCTACAATTTGTTATGCACCCTGTTTGCCACAAACAATTCGACAGAGGCAAACTTAAAATTGTTTAATTTTATTGTATTTAATATATATATTTTCAATCATTTTCACATTGTTGCTGTAGTATTTTTTTGTTTTGTTTGTTGTTGTTTTTGTTTGGAATGTGAGTATCATTGACGGACTCTACTGAACTACTTACACACTTAGGTATTTTTTAATTTTTGTTTTAGTTTCTGTTTTTCTTTAAGACATAAATATTGTATTGCTGTTTGCATAATTATAAACAATTGATTTAAACGCGTACTATTTTACAAATACATTCATGCACATCGAGATTGTAGCTCATATCTAACTTAAAGTGAGATCAACTCAAAATTCATGAAAAATAATATCTCAGTTGTATGGCTGGGTATTATATCTGTTTGTTGTTGTTGTTGTTTAGTAAATTTGTAATGGATATGTAAAATGACTTAGACTAAATAGTTAAATGGTGTTTACATTTTTTGGTATCTTCTTTTTTGTATATCATTCACATAAACATTATTTTGTTAAGTATTGCGTAGTTATGGTAACTTTTTGTTATTTTCTTTTAAAAACAAATCATTTAAGAAACGATTTGATGTATTTCAAATTCAATTCAATTCAATTTAATTCAATTCAAGAAGAAGCATTTCATGCAAAAACTATTTGAAAACTTCTCTGCTCTTCACTTTTATCTCATACCGTTAAACATACACTTAAGTGAGTACTCTTAAATTAAGTAATAAATATATTTTTTTGTTTTTAGTTTTTTTAAAACTTTATTTACAATTTGTATTTATAGCTGCTTGCAAAGTAGTCAGACGCATCCTGAGGCGACACAATTTTCGTCCATTTTGGCCCAACTTGGCCTTTCTCCGCGAAACTCCAAATGCCAATTATGAGTTGCAACTTTATCCACCTGCAACATTGTGCACTTATTGCTGTTGTTACTGCTGCTGCTGCTGCTGCTGTTGATGTTGTTGTTGCGGGGGCAGCATTGGCGACATGACAATAATGTTGGCTGTTGCTGTCTGTCCATAGTCGAGTGGCTTTTGCATTGCATCCGTCGAATCTGGTGCTCGGGTGATTACACAATACTGATTGCCATTGTAGGTGACAATGGGCATCGTGTTGCCGCCGCCGCCGGCAGCATCGATACCAGCAACATTTATGTTGCCCGCATGCAATCCAGCGCTGAGCTGTGCCTGCATATAACTAGCTGCTGTCGGGGAATTGGCAATGATGTGCGATACGGGCACGGACACCTACAAAACGGGGTTGTAAGAGGGGGTTGAAAGGGTTTGATAAACACACAAATTGTTCAGAGTGAAAGTGACAAATATTTGTTGTTGTTGTTGGTTGTCTGTTGTTGTTGTTGTTTTCTGTTGTTTGTTGCATGCTGATGGCGTGTGCTGTTGTTGTTATTGGTTGTTGGTTGTTGTTGTTAATAGTTAGTTACTTCGTGTCCCTGATGAGTGCCGCTGTTGTTGTTGCTGTTATTATTATTATTGTACATAGGCGCGCTGGTCTGTTGCTGTTGCTGCTGCTGCTGTTGTTGTTGTTGTTGTTGTTGGTGGTGCTTTCTGGCTGCTTTCTTGCCGCCAGCAACATGTTGCTGTTGCTGTGGCTGCTGCTGTTGATGGCTGGCATTGAGTATCATCTGATTTTGTATGATTATCTTCTGGCTGTTGCTGTTGTTGAGTATTTGATTTTGGTTAGCATCAATTTGATAGCCGCGATTGTTGCTGCTGTTGCTGTTGCTGCTGTTGCTCTTAGCGATGACGGCTGCTGTTTTTGTGGACTCTACGACTAACCGTTCCTGTTGTCAATACTATAGAACACCCAAAGAGACGGAGACAGACACAAAGAGGTAGACAGAGTTTAGAGTAACAATTCGAATGGAGTCAATAGCAATTCGCCTTTCGCCTCGGTGGGCTCAACCGACATTTGCTCACCTCCAGATGACTCTTGGCATGAATGGACCACTCGTCCCGGCTCGAGAACATCCTGCCGCACAGCTCGCACGTCCACGACAACTGTTGCTGATGGTGCGGTATTATGATGCCCGGTATCGCTGTCGGCGCCCCCTGCGCCGATTGCACAATGATATTCTGCGCCGCAACCTGGACGGCCTGCTGCTGCAGCTGCAACTCCAGACTCTGTTTGTTATCCTCTGGCGGCGGATCGGGTTGCTCCTTCTTCTTGACCATATTATTGAGGCGCTTCCCAAGCGGCGCTATATTTGTCGGCGTAACATGCTTGAACTTGTTCATATGGATGACCAGCTTGTCCCGCCGAGCGAACGCCTTGTTGCACACCTGCAATGGGATTAGAGATTGGGAGGGGGTGGTGCGTGTTAGTCATGGATGCCATGGAGCGATGGCCATTTGCCGTGTTAGTTTCGAGGGCTGTTTATACTTCACAAATATAGGGCTTCTCGCCGGTGTGGATGCGCATGTGAATCGTTAGCTTATCCTTGCGCGCCAGTCCTTTGCCGCACACGGTGCACTCGAATGCCTTATTGGTGGCTGATGATAGATAGAGAAAGAAAGTGAGAGAGATTAGTTGGAATTAGTATTTAGAACTAGTCAGGCAATTGTCCTAATTAGTCATTAGATGACTTCGAAAAATGGGAGTGGGAAGAGGCATTTCAAGAACACTTCTTCTGCTCCTGCCCAGCAGTTGCCAGGAAGAACTTAAGCAATGTGGGAGATCCCTTCCTTACCAGTTGGCACACATAAATGCTACTCGAATTGCAATCCAATTAAATCATTATTTAGGAAAGGAAGTTTTGAAAACTGCTCTAATTTCTGGCCTAGCTGAGTACGCCTCATTATCCGACAATCTAAGCCAACCTAACTTAGTATTTATAAAAAGATTAACCAGATTTACTACTCACTTATTCATACAGGTTTACTACTCACTTATTCATACGAATAAGAGGAAAGACAGTTGTTTACTATTTAAGACTCTTCAGAAGTTAATTAACATTTTTAATGATTACTTATTATAAAATAAATGAATTGGGTTTTCAATATAACATTTTTAATTTTACGCTGTGCTGATATGCTTAGCAAGTAAATCGTCCTTGGTTATCTGTCAAGACAGGGAAGACGAAGTGTCAGAAGAGAGGAGTAGAATTCCGTTTAAATTTCTTGGTAGGCTTTATTGTTCCTCAATTGTCTGGCCTAACTTAACCTGCTATTTATAAAAGATAAATTAGTTATACTCTGCTACGAAAGGTATTACGATCACTATGTCCACCAGGAGGCTATAAAGTCGATAAAAATCGATAATCGCAAATCGATAAAACACATATCCACATATCTCCCACAATATTAAAGATAGATTAATCAAAATTGGAAAGTGTCTCGCTGGTAACATCCTTGAAAGATCGGTATGTACAAGCCAAGTCTCCTGCTGACCATAAAAATATATAAATATAAAAATAAATCTATAAACCTGATGGAGTGCATCGATAAGAATATTTTTGGTCCACGCCCACTTCCGCCTCCACATTATCGAAGTCCTATATCTGCCGCAATTTTAAGTCTAACTTGGAAAACAGATTGTTAGAGGAAGCTCCTTCAAAGATCAGTATTGCTTGTTGCGGTTCTCACTTGTTTCACTTGAGCTGGCTACTCACACTTTGAGGGGTTGGTTTTGCGGACGCCGGACGAAGCCTGCTGCACCTGTTGCAGTGCCTTGAGGCGACTCGCTGGATGCATGGAGCCACCCTCCACATAGGGTTCGGTGAAGGGTATCAGATTCGGTTTGGGTATATTGTAGGTGAGTTGCTCCGCCGCCGACCAGGTGCCAAGGCTTTGGAGGACACGCACGCCCCCCTCGAAGCCCATGCCATCGTCGGGCACGGTGAAAGTGCTCTCACCCGCTGCACCACCCGCCGCACCACCCGCCGAACTGGAGGAACTGATCTGTGGCACTTTGATGGTGGCCGCATAATGTTGCTGCTGCTGTTGTTGCTGCTGCTGCTGTTGTTGTTGCTGTTGTTGTTGCTGCTGTTGTTGTTGCTGTTGTTGTTGCTGTTGCTGCTGCTGTTGTTGTTGCTGTTGTTGTTGCTGCTGTTGCTGCTGCTGTTGCATGCTGCCATTCTGGTTGGCGGTGGGTGAGTTCTGTTGCTGCTGCTTGAATTGTATAGCTGCCTGGGCCATTTGCTGCTGCACCGCCATGTGGGCCTCCAGATATGCGTTCTTCTGCGCCACCGTCATCTTGTCCATGTTAACGGCGCCGTCCTGTAACCCAATTTTGGCAATGAAACACTTGACTCAAAACACCACCTGGCCCATTTCCCATTTCGTTTCGTTCCGTTTCGATTCGTTTCGATTCGTTTCGTTCTCTTTGCCACCCCTAAACAAAAAAAGGCGCGCGCAAGTTTGTTGCGAAATTTTGCCAACCACCCAAAAAAAAAAAGCAGGGAAAAGTAAAATAAAAAATAGAAAAGGAAAAAACTTTGCCTGCCCTTACGCAAAAATTTGCGACTTGAGCTTTTGCTCGGGCGGATTTTCAATGCTGCCCCTGTTCCCAGTTTGTGTGAGTGTGCGTGTGTGTGTGCGTGTGTGTGTGTATGCCGGCCTGGGTCTGAGACTCTTCCGTGTCTGCCTCTGAATTTATTTTAAGCGCGCCACTCGATTTAAACCACAAACATTTTCTTTGCATTTTGCAGCCAATTTTTCACACAACTATCTATTTTTTTTTTTGTGGAAAACTTTTTGCCACAACGCGCACTTTATTGACATTTTCATTGACTGCGTTTTTTCTTATATTTTTCGCTTTTCCTTTGCTCGCTTTTTTCCTTTTTTTTTGCAATGTTGCTTTTGCTTTTGCTTTTCTGCTTACCACAATTGAAAATCAATAAAAAACGGCCGCCGTTGAATATTTCCGTTAACGTTAATATTTTCGTTGCTTTTCTTTCTTTATTTTAGTTTTTTTTTTTTTGCTTTGCAGAATTGAAAAACGGAATTATTCTAGATGCGAGTTATATTTTAGTTATTGCTACTTCCTCGAGTCAAAGCCCAGCGCCTTTTGTTTGTGTATGTATTGCGAAACTGATTTCGAGTCGGACTCGACTCTGTCTCTGTCTCAGTCGCAGCTGCAGTCGACGTCGCCGTTGACGTCGAGCACAATTTGAGTAATTATTTGTTATTCTTGAACGAGGAAAAAGGAACAGGACTCAGTGGCTGTGGCAGACAGATACTAAAGCACTGCTGCTGCTGCTGCTGGCTGAACTTGAGTCTCGAAGGCGGAAGTGTAGCCAACAATCAAATCTATTGCATACCACTCGGCGTTCTAGCCGAGAGCTTTTCTCTCTCTCTCTTTCTCTCTCACTCTCTCACTCACTCACTTACTCACTCTCTCTCACTCACTTACTCTCTCTCACTCACTCAGTCTCTCTCTGTCTCTCAGTTGCTTGGTGGTGGTTAGCTGGCTGAAACAATTCGGAATTGAAACCAAACTGTAACTTTGACAATGGCAATCGCAAAGGCCGCTTATCAGCAGCAGCAGCAGTAGTAGCCAGTTCAGTGCACTCTCCTCTGCACCCCTCTCTCCTCCCACCTGTCCTCTCCACTCACTCACCTGAAAGTCAATGGTGGCACGAACGTTGCGCATAGAGGCAGCATAATCACGCAGCAAATGCTCATTCCGCAGACAAATCTGACGCCATTCGAACAGGTGCTCCAACCGGTCGAGGCACACATCACAGATGTGCTTGGGCAGGTAATCGTCCTTGGTTATCTGACAGGACAGTAACGACAAAAACGACTAAGTAAGGGGTGTTCTTGATAGAATGAAACAGATTTACAATCTATACTAAACTGGAATTTTTAGCATCAATCGAGATTAGAGCAAAAATTTCTAAACGTATTTAATAATTAATTTTAATATTATTCTATTTATATATACTTTGCATAAGGCAGACAAGGTTCAAAGTGTGTTTTTGATAGTATGGAACAGATTACAATATATACTGAAACTGAAATATTCAGCATCAATAGAGATTAGAACAAAAGCATAAAAAGTGAATTATTATTCAAAATACTAAAAAGATTGCTGAAAATATTTAATAAATCAGTTCAAAATTATTCTATTAATACATACCAAAATATATATTTTCGAAAATTAAAATATGGTTAAAAAACTATGCAAATTTTATTTAAACACAATCAATAAATTCTGAAGATGCGTAAACATAAAAAGTTGGCATAATTATAAAATGTATTACCAAAAATAATTTAAGTCCGAAAATAAAATAATTTGTATATTTATTTTAAATAAATTATAATAGTATTTATTTATAATAGTAGTCGAATAATTCTAAAGTTGTTTCAGCTTTCCCTGTGACTGAATAATATTTCTAAAACTGCGTTAAGTATTTTAAAAAATATAGTATTTTAAAACATTCCCAGATCAGCAATTAAACTTTTCTTTTGCCGAATTGAGATTTTTCTTCATTTTGAAGATTTTGAAGAGATCTACTTGATCACCATAAAATGAGTCATATATTTATTAAATGCATTGAGAAGCAGCATTGCTATTATTTTGACTGCAACTGTATTTAATAAAATAAAAATAAGATATTCGTTCTTGGTTATCTCTCAAGGCCGTCAGGTAAAGGGAATTGAAAATTGTCATTTATAGAACGGAAAAGTTTATAACCAATGCTTAACAGACAATCGTTTGTATCAATTGATATTGACAGTTGGTTGACATTGAAAATCCTACAAAGGTTGCTTCACATATTAAATTATAATTTATTTTCATATTATTTTAATAATACTTCGAATAGAATAGATTCTGAACTATGCTTGATTCGGAATGTTTAGCGTCAATTGAGATTAGAAAAATGTAGTTCGGACAAATGGACAGACTCAAAACAACATTTTTCATTTCAATGGAATAAATTATTTGAGTTTTCAATATTACTTTCTTAGCGGAAGATTACCAATCCTTACACACCTGAGTTTAATTTTCGATATTTAAATTTAATTCAAAGTTTAAAAAATTACCATAAGTTGGTAATTTTGTTGACCAAATATTATAATAACATGCCTAGCTGATGAGTGAGGATGTCTTGATCAATAACAATATAGCATCTACAAGAATATAAATACTTTATGACGTCCTTAAATACATTACAAACTTTCCAACAAAATTATAATTCCCTCCACAAATAACAGCTTACTTTTCGCCTGAGATAAGAATTTTCTGTTCTAGTGAAAAATGTTAAAAAATATAAATTTCCGCGACCACTGACTGTGGCTGGTCTGCCTGTGGGAATATAGAATACACACGCACACACTGAACACACACACACACACATCTCGCATACACACTCCGCACACACTAACATTCGCCAGGAGCAGAGTGCGCAGTTTGTAGAGCAATTGTCGGTGCTCGGCCTCTTTCTCAAAGATGTGCAACTTTCTGGGACCTTGATGAATGGCGCACAGTCGACACAATTCAGCAAAGTTGCTAAAGTTTAGTGCCACATTCGCGGCATCGTTGTGCCCCTCCACCTGCTCCTCTTGTTGCTGTTGCTGTTCCCCCTCCGCCAACACCTCCTCCACCGCCCCCTCCTGCTCCACGTACATGTTGCTGCCATGTGTTGCGCCTGGATTGTCAAGGATATGTTGCTGTTGTTGTTGTTGCTGCTGCTGCTGCAGTTCGTGTGTTGTTGCTGTGTGCTGCATGTGCGATAATTGTTGATTGCTGTTGCTCAACATCACGAAAATTTTGCTGCTCTCGATTGCTGTAGCTGTTTCAGTTGCTGCTGATTTTGCTTCTACATGTTGGCTGCAATGAGTTGTAGTTGTAATTGTTGTTGTGTTCTTACCTGCACTCTGAGAAAAAATATATATTTAAAAGAAAGCACAGAAATTCACAATTCGATAATGGTTCTTACTATGCCCAAAATTCTAAAAAATACAAACTTAATCTTTGTTGTTGTATGTATATTAAATAGAGGATTTGGGACAGCGTAAATAAATAAAATAAATAGGTGTAACTTTGTCAAGAGATATGCTATATTCGAAAACTGTTTTGGTAATGGTTTGAGCTGTAGGTTATAGATTTTGATACGATTTCCATGTTGAAAAGTGTAGTTTTTTGTTCTCATTAGTACAATTTAGAATCAAAATTGATATTTACAAATTTAGTTACATTTGAAATTAAAAACCACAATGGAAATTAAAAACCACATTTTTCTGCGAGTGTAGCTGTATGCACCTGCACACTCATAATCCGTACACCCACCTGATTGATGGTTTGGGAAAAATCGATGCAATTGCACTTGAATTCCAAAAATCAAAAATAATTGCTGGCAATCAAAACTCGAACTTTCTTTGGTTTTCTCGCTGGCGCCCAAATTGCCATATTTTGGTTTTGTAAGCCATCTAAAATTGACACACATTCAGTAAAAAAAAAAACACACCTGTCAAAAAAAGAACACACAAATGCAGCACACAAAGTGATTAATTTCATTGTCTTTTTTTATTGGACACTTGAAATGTGGTCAACAAAAAAAAAAGAAGAAAACCGAGTTAAAACAAGAACCATATGTGGCTCAACTTACGCTATGGCAAAAATGCTGGCGCGAACTGTGAATCGCATTCCGAGCGCTTTTGTTGCAACGTCCTCGTCCCGATTCTGTGCCTGTTCCTGTTGCACTTCATATTTTCTATTTTTTTTTATATTTTTTATTTGGTTGCCAGTGAGTGTGAGTGAGAATAAATGCTTGCCGGGTGAGTGTGAAAAGTGCAGGCTGCGTTTGCCACACGGCGCAGTGCGCATTGTTTGGGGGCAGCAATATGTTAGGAGGAATTTGGGGGCAAAGTGGGTGAACGAAGTGGACGAAATTGTTTGACTTGTGTTTGTTGGCCTTCTTTGTGTACACCACAAATTTCGAATATTTTTTTTATGGCCAATGCATAAAAAGTGTGTGTTTTGAGCAACAGGTGCAAATTAATCCGCTGCCTCAGCAGGTGGAGACTCTTCAGCAGCAGCAGGAGCAGGAGAAGCCTCTTCAGCAGCAGGTTGTGCCTCCTCAGCAGCAGGTATTTCCTCCTCAGCAACAGCTTCTTCAGCAGGAGCTGGAGCAGCCTCCTCATCAGCGGCAGCAGGAAGAGGAGGAGCTTCCTCATCAACAGCAGGAGGAGCCTGTTCAGCAGCTGCTTCTTCAGGAGTAGGTGGAGGAGTTGCCTCTCCAGCAGCTGGCTCTGCAGCAACAAGAGGAGCTGGAGGAGGAGCTGTTGCCTCTTCAGCTGCTGCTGCCTCCGCCTGTGCCTCAACATCATCGGCCTCAGAAACGTGTCCCACCATCTTTGCCGTTGGCGCCGCACACATCGAGGACGTCGAGCTCTCCTTTTCCTGCTCCAACTCGTCCTCGTCGACAAGGAAGAAATCGTATTCTTTTGTTAACCGCTGCTCCTCCTCCTCGGGCTCAATTTCCTCATAGACAATGATCTCCTTCCAGATGACTTCCTCGTCGACGCAGACGGGCTCATCGCTTTGCGGCTCGAGCCGCTTATTCAGATCCACCTCGGAGACGATGGGTTCGGTGTGATCGAAGCCGGCGCAGGTGACACACGACGACGTGGTCAGCAGCAGCGATGAGTGTGGCGTGGTGCTCGACAGCATCGAACCGCTGCTGACTGACTTCTCCTTGGGCTTGGCATCCTTCGCCGGCGATCGATATGTCATCAGCGTCTGCTGCGATCTCTCCTGCGTGTGCAGATCGGGTGCCACCTGGCACTGATTGCTGATCTGAGGCACGACGGGATTGCGGCGCATCAGATAGTCGGCCACACGCATTTTCCAATCTTTCTGGCTGCAGTCAACGTTCTGCAATATATCATAGATTTCACCAAGCAGCGGTTTAATCATCGGTCGATTACAAAAGCGATTCGCATCAAAGAGTTCAATCGGCTCGTGAATATCTATAAATAAATAATGAAAAATATGTACTGAATCTTTAAATAGTTCGGTTTCTTACACTCTAAAAAATGCATATAAAATATATATATATATATAAATAAAACAAGCATTAGAAATATTAATAATTCTTATGAATAAAAAATCATTAGTTTTGCAACTTTCTCAATCATACGCCCCATTACTTACAGTTGGGAAATATAAAGATAATCTCGCGAGCGACGCTAGCGGGATGCTTAGTGACATGCACATTGCGCTCCAGTTCCGAGGAGTTGCCACTGAGAGGCAACACCAAGTGAATTATTGAGTTCAGTTTTAGCTGCAACCACAACTTACAAGTAGCAAATCATAATGTTGAGCAGCTCCTTAACGGCATTCTCCTTGGTCAGTATGAAGGCCTCCGAGATGCCCTTCGACAGCAAAATGACCTCCAGCATGAATCCCTTCTCATCCGCATAGTCAGCATAGAATTCGGCTGCCAACTCCGGCGAAAAGTTCAACCTTCGATTGCCCTCAATCTGGAATCCACAAGACAAAAGCTTCAGCAGCACAGGACGACGCTTGTGCAAATAGTCCGGCTTGATGATGAGCAGCGTATCCTCAAACATGGCCATAACATTTATATATATACTATATCTGTTATCGTTCAAATTATTTGATTTAAGATTTAGTTTTCTTCTTCTCAATGTATCCTCATAGCCAAAAAATATATTTATTTACTATATTTTTTAGCGTTCAAATAATTTCAAATATTTAGAATAATTTTTCACATTTAATCCTCATGTAATATGTCCTCGTAGGAATTATATTTATGTACTAAATAATAATTCCCAAAGTTTCAAATATGCAGTCAAGTTTGCAGTTTTCGTTTTCGTTATTTTTTATTTATTTTTCAGATTTAATTCTCGTTTTCATGTTTTACACTTTTTGTCTTAAGCTACACACACACTTTTAAAATTATTTCTTTAGTCGAATTTGAATTAATTTTCTCAGCATGTTTTGGTTTCTTGATTTTATGTTTATTATGCATGCATTTGTTCTATATGTTTATACACTGACAAAAACCAAATAGCTTCAGTTTTACAATTATTTCTTTAGTCGAATTTGAATGTTTTGATTTTAGTTTTGCATTTGCTAGTACAAAGTTTGTGTGAATTGCATGCAGCATTTGTTTAATATCTTTATACACTGACAAAAAAAACCCAACCAAACAGTTTCAGTTTCGCTCTCATTTTAACTATCACCAACATTTCACGTACAAAACAAAAGTTAATAAAGGTGCAGAACAATAGTAAGTAAGTTGTTTCGATCATTTACAGTCAATGGTTTATAGAATGTAAACAGATAAGTAAAGATATATATATAATTATATAGTTATATGTATAATTCGTGGCGCCTCCATTCTGCGACACATCACAAGCAACATCTTAAGCTGCAATTAAGAAACAATAAATTGATTAAATAGTGAATAAATTTAATTATAATCTGTGCACAACTCACCTGAAATTCTGGCAAAGGCCAGCGCCGACTTCTCGCTATCGAAGCATTTGCCAATCTCGGAGCAGACGTGCGATTGATCGATATAAGGACGCTCCGCCAGATGCATGATGCTGATGCCATAAATCGAGATCATTTCCGAGCACTACAACAAATAAGAAAAAGGCACACAAAATTAACAAGTTGCCCAATCAAAACAATGCGAAAATGTTGCGAAATACTCTGCTTCCCATGCTGTGATCTGAATTGATATGCCGATCATTAAAGGATGTTACAAGTTCCAATTTTGGTGACTCTATCTTTAAATTTGTGGAAGATATGCATTTTTATCGGTTTTTATGGTCTGTCGATTTTTGAAGAACATCGCCACCAAAGCTTTAAAATCTACGTGCACTCATCGATTATCGATGTTAGCTATTTCCTAGCCTCCTCTATATCTAGCTTTATGGGTGTTATGGGTGAATACAGACAGTCAGCCTGACGGCCACTGCACAAAACTAATATGCCCTAATAACATGGCTAGCAGAGTATAACAACGAGTTAAAGTCAAATATTGGCTTACAATATTGTAGTACTTGGCTGGCAAGTTCTCGCAGGCGTGGCCAATCATGTCCTGGCTTGTGAGCTGGTCGTGTTGCTTCTGCGAGCGGAAGAAGGGCAACAGGGCTTGGGAGATGCCGTGGCAGACGCCGCACTCGATGACCTCATCGGAGACGACCGAACTGAAGCAGAGCTGCATCTTCTGGCACACCTCCTTGGGCGGCACCTTGCTCAACAGACTGATTATCGCAGTCGCATAGCTGTCCACAAAGGTGTCGCATTGTTTGCGTATTGTTGCCGGCAGATGATTGCAGACATTGCGTATCGCCTTCTTGATCTCATCCTGTTCGGTTTTGTTCTGCAGATCCGCCTCCAGCTTTGTCATCACAAACTCGCACAGTACACACGTGGGCGGCTCCTCCACCGAGCTAGATGACTCCAGACGTGCCAGTTTATCGTCGTCCTGCGGATTGGCAAGCACAACAACATCGTACTTGAGCGCCTCATCGATGTCAACTAGGTCGGAGGTAATAGATAAATTAAGGTTAATTATTTAAGTTTTAAATATATCGACTAATCGAATGGAGAAAAAAATAATAGTGTTAGGAATTCTATGAGAGTAAAATGATCCAAGGAAGGGATTATGAAAGGGGCTACGAAATGATTGAGAATTTGCATACTGTGAAGCAGCAATCCTATTATTCTATATATAGATATTTATAGATATATTTTACTTACGATCCTCCTGCTCGCCGCCGCCGATTATACACGCGCCCAACTCGGCGCAGATCAATTTGGGTGACATTTGCTTCAGAAACAGATCGGCAATTTGATCGCCATGTTTGTCGATAAACATGTGGCACTTGTGAGCCAAAGGTTTTCTCAATTTGTCGCAGGAGTGGGCCAAGGCGTCTTTGATCTCCGCTTTAGTTGCATGCTTGCCAATCCTCTTCTCCACCTGCTTGACGACCTCCTCGCAGAGCAGACAATTGGGACTGAGGCTGAAATCCTTGTCAAAGCTCAACTCAATGGGCAGCTCCTCGTTGCTGCCAAAGATCTCATTCTCATCGCTGCTCTCCGACAGACTCAAACCCAGATCGTCCAAATAGTTTTTGGTCTTGGGACACAGTTTGAGCTGAACACAAATCTCCTCCGGCTTGAAGTCAGTGATGAGCATGTCGATCAGCTCATTCGAATAGGTGTCAACGAAATCAACGCATTCGCTGCGCAGCTTGTTGGGCAGATGTGAGCAGAGATCGTCGAGGACACGCTTAATGTTATCCTTGGACTTATTGTCGCGTATCTTGATCTGTGCCTGCTCAACGGCAAACAGACAAAGCGGACACGTTGGCTTATCCTGCTCATCGTTGGGACTGCTGTTGTGCACCGTTGTCTCTGGCTGGAATACCTCAATGTCCTCGCTCAACTCCAGATTCCGGGGACACATCTGCATCATGGGACAAACGCTGCGTGGATTCAAACCTTGAATGAGCAACGCAATCACCGCATCGCCATACATCTCGACAAAGTTGCGACACTGAGCGGCCACACCATGTGGCATCTTGGTGCAAATGTTCTCCACGGTGTGCTTAATCTCATCATCTGTCGCTGGCGTTGCAAGTGTTTCCTGTATAAAATGCAGCAAATATTCACAAACGGTGCACAGGGAACCCTCGTTAACCAGCTGGAGGCGATTAGCGGCACCCATCAACGAATCAAAGGGCAACTGCATGTCCATAATCTGTTGCTGAGTAAACTTCGGCTCATTGGCGCCCAATCGCTTGATGCTAATTTGAACTTCAGCTGGTGCAACAACAGGCACGAGTGGCACAATGGGTGCATCATAGATCACACTGTTGCCCTTGGGGCAGACGCCGATGAGGAAACAGGTGCCGTTCGCATCCAGATTGTTGACCAGCGTGCTGTAGATAACATGATAATACTGGTCCACAATGCTGATGCATTCGTCCTTAAAGCCGCGCGACTGCTTGCAGAAACCCTCGAGCACCTGCTTGAACTCCGTCTCCGTCGTATTGGCGACGAGTACATCGCGCAAATGTTTCACCAGCTGTTCGCAGAGAGCACAGGGAATATCATCGTCGACACCGTCGAAGGTGGCAAGTTCCTCGGTCTCCTCCTCCTTGGGGTCATCCTCGTGCTGATGATAGCGTGCCGCACAAACACCCGACAAATGGCACAAGCCGTTCGTTTGCAAATGTTGCTCGAGATGCTCGTACAAATCATTGAAATAGGTCAACACCAGACTGGCGCATGCATCCGAGAAACTGGACATGGTGCCGCAGACGTGCAACAACTGCTCGACCATATTGTCCCGATTCGTTGACGCGAACTTGTGTTGCATGAGGCGTGCAAGCAGATTGCAATTGCCACATGACAATTGCTTCAAGTCGATCTCCTTCTTTTCCTCCGGCTTCTTGGCCACAACACCACTTTCCATATCGACATCCTCCTCCTTCAGTGTGCCATTGAGTGTAGCCTGAAAGCCGTGCATCCGCAGCTCATCGATGCGGGCGCTGTTGCACAAACCGGCCACAGAGCAAACTTGCTGCAATATCACATTCAAATATTAAGATTCATAAATCAGTTGCGAAAGAAATAATAATAATATTATTTACATCGGGATTCATTTGGGAGGAGAGCGCCTCGACCAGTTCGGGTATAAAGTTGTCGGCAAGTGTGATGCATTCCTTTTGGATCAGCTTAATTGGGATCAGTTTGCAGGAGCCCTCCAAGACCTCCTTCAGCTCCTCCTCGGTTTGATTGCTGCGCAGCTGTTCGCGTGCCTCATCCACCATTTTCTTGCATATATCACAAATCGAATCAGTATCCACAGGTACAATTCGCTTCTCCCACACGGTCTGAATGCAATGACGCGTCGCTCGACAATCCTTCGAATTGCTGCAAATGGAAAGGCATCAATTTAATAAGTTTGCATTATGATACATGACAGATCAGCAATATAATATATATTCCTTACACGAAACTGTTCCGCACTTAAGTTTTGCAGTAAAATCTTAAGCCAAATCTGGCAACTTTATATTTTTCAAAATTCAATGGAATTAAGTCGAGGGAGCTCGACTAGAAGATAGCCAGATAATGTATACTAATAAAATTAATAATATATTATTACTGTGTAAGTAAACTCGACTGTTTAATAAAATATGTTTTCTTTATCAAAATCTGTTTTACAGTTGTCGCAACTAAAATGTCTGTGTATATTATATATCAATTGAAAGGCTATATCTTTACAATTCTGACCATGATTGCAATCGGTTATATTGCATATCGCGAAACAGGTGCAGTTATCGATAAGATAAAGTAAGATGTAATCTGCCAAACGAGTCACATTTTTTGATAGATTTTGTTTGGCTGCAGACTCTAACCAAGACAGACAAATACGGATACGTCGACTCGACTTTTTTTGATAATTAAGAATATATATAATAATCCTAAATGGGATCTATTGTCCTCCCTACTGAGCCTATAGCTCCTGCATGAATGCTAGGATCTTTGTTGGGTTGGGGGTTTCTATGTCTTTGAAGCACATAACATGCATCCCTGGGATGCTGCATCTTTTCCTAGTTAAGGCGACACACTCGGTTAGGACGTGCATTGCAGATTCTTCATCGATTTCAGAAAACCTGCATAGTTCGCTACCATAATTACCCAGTTTGGTTAGGTGAATTCCCAGCCTACAATCTCCTGCCAGTAGACCGATGAAGCCTGTTCCTCCCCATGGTTATTACTTGCTTAAATCATTTATGAAAGAATATGCGTGTATACTTTGCGAATTCCCAGATACTTCCTGCTGCCTTTTACATACTTTGGCATTATTCAGCACAACCTTAAGCCCATTTTGAATGGGCATAAAAATGCCACACAAACAAACGCATCAAATGACCCGCATTCATAATCGTCTTTCGTCAAAGTCAGCAAAGATCGAAGTCCAAATGAAGCATTGAACGAAGCCACGAGCTAGTTGAATGCACCCGCAAATATAAATATATACTCATATATATATATATAAATATATACCATATATGCATCATGTATATCACGTATAAATAAGTCTGGGTACATATTAAATTTAAGAATCAATGGATATTATGTTTAGCCGCCCCTTGTCAGCATTTCGACCATTTCAACCAAAAAAAAACATTACGAATTTCAGTCGACTCAATTTCCGTTTAGGGGAGCAAAAGAGAAGGGTGAAGTGCTAATTTGTATCAAGCAAACAACCAAATTGTGTAAACATACAGTGGCGAACACAATATTAGCACCAGTCTCACAAGAAATGACTTTGACTCTTTATAAAGAAAGTGCGAAAGAAATAATTTATTCGTAATTTTCATCCTATTTAAATTTAATTAAAATTAAAAAATTAGATTTTATGAAAAGGATACAATACTAGACAATTTATTAAAAATTAACATTTGAAAAAATATGCAAAACTAATGCTTTGTTTTTGTTCTTGTTTTTCTTTTGTCATTCGTCGAAGTGATGATATTATTCTTGTCGCAACTGTATATACATATACAAGCTGATACTTGCTACAGATAAGCAGAAGAAAACAAATGTCACATCATATTTGATATATATATGCATATATATAAATATGGATAAACAAATTTTTTCGCTTGAAAAAAGAATGTTTATTTGGAAGGCGTCTGCTGAAATGGCGACGTTTATTTTAACTCGAACCGGAGGACAAAGAGTTAGCACAGATTACGAAATATTCATTATCAAATCAATAAATAAACAAAAGAAAAGTGTACGATAAACAAATATAAACTCACAATTTTGTGTAAATTTAGAGCAGACTGTTTCTTTTATTAGTCGACATAGACAAATGGAAATTGTAGACAACAATAATAATTAAATAAATAAAAATAAAAAATACTTTACGAATTCTGGTGGTATTTATGTTAACTCTCTATATATTTATATGCAAAATTGCTTAACGATTGTCATCGAAAACTCAGAAGAAAAAAAAACAAACAAAAATAGTTTATAATTATAAATAGTTATATAATTTGAGTAAGAAATGCAATCAGTCGTGTAAAACAAATTTTGTACAGTGCTGGCCAACAAAATAGGACCAACCAGCAATTGAATTGGAAAATAAGCAGCATCTGTTTAACTGCATTATAAACAATCAAAAATTTCTGAACAATAATTGTATTTTTGGAATTTGTCAGAGTTTGCCGGTTTCTTTACTCATAAGAAAATGGAAAAATACATTTACAGTTATATTGTCAATGTTGTTGCTGCGGTCAATGACGAATGCTAAGCTTAAGCTTAGATATAAGAGACGAAAAGGAAACAAATATGATTAACAAACTTATTAGTCATCGGCATATTTTGCTGCCGATGATTTTACAGTTATGTGTGTGTATGAGTGTGTGCGTTACATGTGTAATGAGTTAGTTTAGCTGTAGTCATATGGTTAATTTAATTTAAAGCGAAATTGAAAAGTATCAAGTGAGAGAGAGACAGAGGGGGCAGGGGGAACAAGAGAGTTAGACAGAGAGAGCGAGTGCAAAGCTCAGACGAGTTACAAATAAATGTGCAAAAAAAAAAAAAATAGAGCAAATGAGCGGAAAGCAGAATTAGAGCAAAAACAACTATAAACTGTCGAACAACAACCACACAAAGGTTATCGATGAGCCACAAAACAGAATGGCGGCTCTTTGCTTATTGCTTCTTATCAAATATTTCTTCTTCTTCAGCCAACGACAAGCGACAAACAATGAAGAAAGAAATGAAGGAACAAAAACGCTGCAAAGTGGGAAAGGGGGAATAACAGCACAAGGGGTTAATAACTGCGTAGTGACCATTGTTTTATTTTGAGTGCTTTTTTTTTCGCTCCGATGACAAAGCGATTTTTCTTCCATTGCATTTTTCTCACCTGAGATTCTCACACCAATATGAAGGGCCCCAAGTGCATTTCGCGCTACCCAAAAGCGCAACCTGTTCAGCGACGGGCGTTGAAGAAACGCCAACGGCTTAAAACAAAAAAAAATATATATGATTAATTATTTGACAAACACAAATACGCAATTATTCTGTTTTGTGACGTCACAAACTACTTACCGCAAACAAACAGAGCCAAAATGGCCAAAAGGCCAGCGTTGCGCATTTTTGTTGTTAAGTTTACTGCTTTGTACAGCACTGGTTAATTATTTATTTGTATTAATTCAAGTTGCTCTTCCTGCAACTTCACGCTTTGAATTTTTGATGATTAATGACGGAAAACGAATTGAGTCTTTTTTGCTTTGCTTTTATTATTGGCCAGTGTGACCGAACTGCACTTCAACTAGCGATGCGCTACGCTTATCGATAGGTGTATGAGACACTATTGTAAGATAGTTGAGTGTGGCAAACACTCGCATTGCTGCAGTTTGCGCTAATGAATATTCAAATTTATGTGAGTTTCTTAAAAAAACTAAAATAGGGAATTTTGATTACATTTTTTCAAACAGTAATGTCACTGAAATATTTAACTTGAGCACTTTTTACTACTCTTTTCTTGAAATAGAATTGCCAGCAAGGCTGCCACTTGGTGAATAAAAGGTGGCTGGCGCTGCCACTCATTTCAAATAGTGGTGTACTGCTTAATCTTAAGCAAGGTTTTTATCGTCTGACTCGGGTTCAAACCTCGGTGACATCAAAAAATTTAATATATATATTTTATGAATATTTTGGTTTTGTTATATTTTAAGTTAAATTATTTTTTATATTTTAATAATATTAAGTTGGTACATAAGCTGAGATTTGACAACAATTATAATGTGTTTTCTCATTTTTTTAACAAACTATTGTTAATCAGAAGCTGGTTCAAATCTGGACGGGATTAATTTAAAAATGTTAATGTTTTCATTTTTGTTTATAGAATTTTAAATTTTTACAATATTTGTTTTAATACGCCTTAACTGTAATAACGAGCTAAAATTATTTTTACATTCCAAAAGAAAATCTTTAACTAATTTCGTATTAATTCTATTAATAATGTTTAATTTTGCTATTGTAATATAACAATTAAATGTCATTTGAGCTTGGCCCTTGGTCCAAAAAGGTGTCAAATCGGGTTTTCATTAATCGGACATAGATCAAATAAATTAGTAATGGATATTTGTATGGTTATTGAATGGCTGAGAAAACTATTATTAAAATGTTCTTGAACTTTTTTTTAGCAGAGCTCAAAAGCACTTGATAAATATTCAATTTTAATTATTGCTGACTAATTATTGATTGATGTTGATGTAAGCAAAAAAATTACACACAGAGAGATCTGAGAAAAGATCTTAATGCGAGTTGTATTCTTGTGAAAATGAATTTTAATTAAATACAAACAAATTGCTGCTGCTGAGATATCTATCAAATTTCATTGCACATTTTGTAATCAAAATATTTTGTGTGTGAAAAAGTCGATAGAATTTTGTTTTACAAAAGGCCTTCTCAGATTGAATTGCAGCTGCAACAAGCTGAAAGTTGAGGTCAACAGAAATGCCAAATGCAGTGCCGATCTTACCAATATATATACTATATATATATATAATTAAATGGGCATAATCTGTGTCAAGCCAACGAAGGAAACTTGAAACTAGAAACAAGTCTTGTTTCTGTCTTGGCCAAGGTGGTTGGCTATTAGCCATGGTTTGGTTCTTTACCACATTTAATTGACAATTTAGCTCACTGCACTTGACACTGACAATTTAGCCACAAACCAAATAATTGTGCAGCCTTTTAAGAACTCTTCGACTCTGTGGTTTTGTTTATTTTTCACTTGATTCAAGTTCAGCTTTAATTCAAGTTCATTTGTAACGAAACAATTTTCACTTGGCTTCCAATTATAAATCCATAGAAATTTGTTGATATCATCTTTGGTTCACACGCTGCGAAAACAATTACCAAACAGTTGTTGGGATTTCAGTTTTTTTTTTCGAGTGGATTCACTTTTTAATATACCCTTGCCGGAGTGTGTATATTAACTTTGTCGTTGATTGTGCAACGGATTTGAGACGATTCTGATTTGATTTAGCATAAATATTATTTTTATTCCACTGTTTTTTATCTATAATAACTCGACATTAAAACTTTAAAGCGACCTTTTCCGATAAATTTCGAGAAAATGATCTTAAATGCGTTTTTATAAAAGCAGTGTATACATTATTGTTTATTTATTTAATTTTGCCTAAATATTAGCCCAAAAAAGGTTAAAAAGGTTTTAAAAAATAATAATAATAATTTTTAAGGGACAAGTAAAATTACAGTATTTTTATTTTATATTTATTTGATTGGCTTTGTAATATAAATAATAAAAAATGAAAATGGCTAGTTATAAATATTTGTCATTTTTCGGCCTTTTATAAGAGTATCTAAAGTCTGTAATAGTTTAAATAGCTTATCTCTCTGGTTGATTATGAGTTTTGTTTTATAGACGCTTCGCTGGCTGACATGCTTACATGAAGAGTGAAAGATAGAGCGAGAGAGAGAGAGGGGGAGGCAGATAGATATGGAGAGAGATTTGAGATTGCAGGCTAGTTGTAGGGCTAATTACGTGCGTAATCACGAAGACGGTGAAACCTTAAAGTACGTCACATAAATACACTCAACAATCTCTCAAATGGCCAAATTGCTTTAACTGCCACACAACGCAAAACTTGGGCAACTTCCTCTCTGTTTCTGCTGCTCAAAACTAACTGCAACTTTAACTGGTAGAGTGTGAAGGAAGGGGTGGTGGGTAGTCATTAGCTATATGATTCTATACAACCAAGATCAGATCGCAGACGGAAATGCGGAAATGAACTTGACCTTTTATCGCTGCCAAGCAGCTTGTTTCTTACCTGCTTAGCGGTTGTGTGCGAATGACGCGCATAAAACAAAACTAAAAGTTAATCAATTCAAAGCCAAGCGATTTGTTCAAAATTTGTATTTGTGAGTCAAATTATTGTTGTATTTTAGTTATGATAATAAATAAAGCAACGGAAGACACAATGCACCAATAAACCAAAGGCCAAAAACTAGAAACAGGCAAAAGTCGTCGTCTTCTCTTCTCGCTTCTTCCGCTTTGGCAGCAGGCAGCAGGCAGCAGCAGCGCAAAATCAAGCAGAAGATCAAGTTCAAGTATCAATTTAAAAACAAAAAACCAAAAATCAAACTCAAATTAGAAGAAGAGTAGCGTGTGTAACACGAATAAGCCGGTTTTTGTCAGTGTATTTTATGCTGCTGTTAGCCAGTTAGCTTTGACCCAGTGAACCAAGCAAGCGCTGCTGCTTGACCGGTCACGTTCATCTTTTCGCATGCGCCATTAACACAGTGCGAAATAACCCTTATATTCAATAATTGTATTCAGATTTATTAATTAATTCGGGACGGCGCGAACGCCATTCCCGGCTACCAAAAATTACACGCACGAGTTATTCACATTAGGAATAATCGCAGAGGTCAACTCAGCCGAAGGTGCAATGGCCAAGCCTCGCTCCGGAGGAACCGCCTTCGTGATCACGGTTAACCTCTACGCCAGGTAAGTATGCTTTCCGCCGCTCAAGAACTCGCACTCCTAGCCAGCTGTGCTAAAACCATTTGGGAATTGTAATGTGCAAGCATGCTAAGGCATTTCTATAGCAGCCAAAACGGGCACAGCGACAGCAGTGTATTTATATGTGTGCGTGTGCTGTGTGTATGTGTTGGTTTTAGCAGCAGGCAAGCAAGTTCTGTTTACTGATAAAGAGAGTGACAGTGAGAGTGAGAGAGCGAAATAGTATTGTTATTTTTGTATCCCATGAACACTTATAAGCATCCTCATTACATTACACGCACACACGCATGCAGCTCATTCTATACAGTATGTGAAAAAAGTGTTTGGTCGTAGAAAAATTCATATTTTCTCAATGATTGAAAATTTGTTAATTAGGTTTTGTTTTAAATGTGCGAAAATATGCATTTTGTCTGTGTCTAAATACTTTCTTAACATACTGTAGAGATATGAAGTAGACAGTAAGCAAAAGTAATGAAAAAAAAATAATTTAAATAGTAAACTGTCAACATCTACACTTCCACCCTTAAACCAAAATAACAGAAAGCCTGCTCTGTAATAGTTGTCCTTGCTTTGCTTACTATAATTCCCAATCGGTTCTAGTAAGCCAGGGTAGCAGTATCCATTCTTGAGCAGCGAAAAGCATACTTACCTGGCGTAGAGGTTAACCGTGATCACGAAGGCGGTTCCTCCGGAGCGAGGCTTGGCCATTGCACCTTCGGCTGAGTTGACCTCTGCGATTATTCCTAATGTGAATAACTCGTGCGTGTAATTTTTGGTAGCCGGGAATGGCGTTCGCGCCGTCCCGAATTAATTAATGCATTCCTTGAGCGTCTCACTGATTGTTTAGACTGGTTTAAAAACTGTTTATTGCGTTTGCACACGCCTGAATAGCAGTTAATTGTATTGACTGGAATTTTATTAGTTCAAATCAAGTCAACCAGAATCACACATTTCACCTTAAGCTGGTAAACAAATTGGTAGTCACGGGACTAAATGTGTTAAAAATATATGGATTCGGAGTGACAGAATTTATGGTTTAAAAAGTATAAACAAAAATTGGTCCGCAGTAAAAGTCTATAAATTAATCCTGACTCCTCCCCTCGGTATATTCAACGAAAATACATTACATTTAATATATTATGTCTTGCTGCTCTACCTTTCATTCCAATTCATATTTTGATCTATGATTTTGGGGTTAAAATATTTTAATTAATATTTCCTTTCTAAAATGAACAGCTCTTTTATTGTAAATTTTGTGTTGAACATTTCTCAATTCATATTTTCCATTATATACTAAATGGCTCTTAATTTGTAGAGAAATTTGGATTGTATTAAGGTTAAATTTATTAAACAGATATTTTCAATAGTATGCTTCAATAATGATTCTCACAAGTTTAAGATGATAACCCTTAAATGTTGAGGGTAAAATTCATCCATTGAGATACATATTCCATTTTAGAATAAAATGGTCTTTAATATTATTTTTTTTAAATTTATATTTTTAAGTATTTTTCAGCGAACAATAAAACTTGTCTTCTCTATTTGGATAATGATTCTAAGAACGAAAAAGCCTTCGGCATAATTTGGGTTCTTTTTCGGGTATTCATAGACAAAGGCAAAAAAAAAAATCGTTGATGAAGGCAATCGGCTTATTCAATTGTCGAGAACTGAATACGATTTGGTCAGTAGTTAATGTTATTCATAGAGACGAAAACGTAGATCAAATTGTGAATGATAATAATATGTTTAAGGATTAGTATCTTAAGTGGAAGGGGGAAGTGTTGAATTCCGAGTGACTTGCATATATCTTCTATGGCTTTTTATTAGAGAAGCTGTTAATTTGACTCTAATTAAAGAACGATTCAGTTGTTATTTCCTAGACAAATGTAGACAAAGATTTTGTTTCTTGGCCAGGCGAAGACGTGATTTAATAATTACGTGATTTCTGTTTCTATTTTTCTACATCGTTTTTTTCTCTTTTTTTGAGGAAGTGAATATAAAACGGCAAACATATAAATATTTATTTAACTATGCGGAGCTCAAGTTAAATGATTGGAGATGATTTAAGTTGGCAAGGGCAACCAAAAAATTGCATAATATAAGGGCAAAGCTACAGCCAAAAACTATTTATAATCTTTTATTGTAGCCATATTTTTGTATTCTTTTTTTCTATCTAGAAAGTAATTTGCATTTATTCGAAATTTATGCAAGAAACTTGTTTAATTTTTAGCGAATGCTTCCAATATTGATCCCAGTTCGTATTTCGATAATGCCGTTGTTGAACTCCCCAAAAAAAAACCTTAACAACTAGGCAAATTTATTTCAGAATATTTTAAAAGTAACTTAACAGGAGAGGTTTTTTTGTGTGTAAAGGTTCTTGATTTTGAGCTCATCGTTGGATGAGCGTGTGAGTGTGAATGAGTGTGTGTGTGAGTGTGTGTGTGAGCGCGCATTTTAAACAGGTTCTATTCAAAAATATTTTAACAAAATTAGTCGACTTTAAGATATGCTTTTAGATTATTTTTTTAAAAATCATTAAATTATCGGTGTATGAGGAGATGTTATCGATTTAATCGACAATCTCAACCCTTTGTGTAAGGCCGACATGAAGGAGACCTTATTCTATTATTTGAAAACTAAACATAATTTTAGTTGTTGAAAAAAATATGTAAAAATCCGTTTAGTTTGTGGTTACATTTCAAATACTCCCATCCAACCAGAATTGAATTCCTTATAATATTTACAAGGTATAACGATTAAGTCTCCAAGTTGAAAGACCAATCGAATAACATTTAATTTATGTAGAACTTAAGCTGGGAGGCATCACCATAACTTGATTGGCAGACCAACCAAAGAGAATTTGATGATATCAATTTGATATCAAATTGTTTCTATAGAATTCCAAATGGAACCAGTTTTACATTGATTTTTTGATAATTTTTTTTGTTTTGTGTTTCTGACCATGAAAAATATTGGCCTTTATCTCTGCCAACATTTTTTTGCTCTTGACCTTCATCAAATAATTATTAAGAACATTTAACACCAAAGTGGTAATATATCTCACATCGGATTTGGATTCTAATTGCAGGCTTTGCGTATTAATTGATAATCATTTAATGTCGGGCAAAAAAATGCATATATTTATATATAAGTTGTTGACTTTTACAAGGAGGCTGGCTGAGTTGAATTGAGTTGAAACGACTTGTGGCGCATTTTGAAATTCTGACCACTCAAATTAAACGCTCCACATTTCGGGGGCACTTGTGGCAGCGGACATGACATGAGCAAAGTTTCTTTTAATGGCACTCGTATCATAACACTTGATATTACCACCGTGGCGTGGCAACGTCTTTCAATCAAGAATCGAGTCAAAAAACACCTGCTAATTGGATGCAAAGCAATAATTTTTGAGGGGCGGTCCAACAGAAGCCGTCAAGAAATTCGCCACAAAATTAACTGCATATAGGTTTTTTGTTAATTTTTTATTTTGAAAGAGAGACTGACAAATACAAGGGCAGCTATCAAAGCCAAAAAGCAATCATAAAGGCACAAAATTAGTGACCACTATACACTGAAAGAAATAATTGAGAATGCCTTAGTCGAGAGAGCTCGATGATTATGAATGAAATAAAAATCTGTATTACTTATCTGATCTGAATGAAATGTTTACAGTTTATTTAGAGTATATTATGAATAAATTTGTGTATTTTTTGCTATCAAAAATGGATATTTATAAAAATAAATAATTAAATATTTAAGATAAATACACTTGATCTGTCTGTGCTATACGAGAACTTATATTCCAAATTTGAAGTCTCTCTTATAATCTGTGTATAATATATATGTAAATATATTTAATGGTGTTTATAGAGAATTTTTACATTGATTATGATTATATTTAATCAAAAGTAATCAGTTGAGTTTTGAAAAATAAATATAACAACTTCTACCTATATGAATAATACTTTCGTTGAGAAGACAGCGCTTAACTCTTAACTAAGTAATGAATGAAGCATTAGAAATAAGAATTAGACTGCCACAAACCAAACAGATTCGTTGGCTGCTGCTATTACTAATACTACTACCAAACTACCAAACTTATGCTCGAATAGTAGTAGATTTGCTGCTGCCTTTTGTCACAGCCACACAGCGTATACGCGATCGCTTGGCTTTATCTCCGACTCACACACACAGATACACACACAGATACAGAGAGAGAGATAGATGCAAAGATTTCGAAGCGTCAGCCGAGCGAGCCGAAAGCCAAAAAGCCGAAACGTTCACCGAAAATTTTTTAGCACTTCTTTTTAAATTTTTATGCAAACTCGAACTTATTGTTAGTTGTGTGTCGGAGTTCGCGTCGAAGAGAGTTTGAATTCGAGCGTAGCAACAAAAAGTGCAACAAATCACAGTCGGATACGGATTATAAAATCGCGTGTTTTATTCGCAAAAAGGATATGCGAGCAAAGACCAACGTGGGTCAAGTGTAAGACAAAAAGAAAACAAACAATGTCCTCGAAAGTATTCGGTTCACTGATGGCCGAGAGCATTCTCCTCTCGAAAGCCACTCAAATTATATCCGGTTATTCGCCGCTGACCATTTTCCTCTTGGCCACAATCGCGATTTTCCTTGTGGTCTATAATAAGAGACGCGCACGTTGGGTGAAATATATTGAAAAGATACCAGGACCTGCAGCGCTACCCTTTCTGGGCAATGCCATCGAAATGAATGTGGATCACGATGGTGAGTGCAGTGATTGATTGTGATTGATATTGTGATTGATTGATGCGATTCTTGTTGTGTTTGTTGATTGTGCACGTTGAGCGTTCTACAAGTACACAGATCTTGACCCTGAATCAGCGTATTCCACTGCTCGAAATTAGACCAATCTGATTGAATAGTCAAACACCAATTTCGTAGTAAATAATGCATAGATTTTGCTTCGTTTGAGGTGCTAATTGTGCAAACCAAACAGAGAGTCAACGATGCCTGCATTTTTCAGATCGATTTTATTGATTCATCTCTTTTTGGAATTGCCTCTTGCCAGCTGGTGTTGTTGAACTTTGCATTGCTCTCAGTTCTCCAGTTTTTTTTTTGTATCTTTCTTTTCACTTTCACTGCCCAAAAAGTGTGATAAGAAAAGATTAAAATAGAATTATGGAACTACGTGACTAAAGTCAAACTAAAAAAAGTGCTAATAGATATATATATATATATTGATCATGTATATATTAAACTGGTGTAAAACTAGAACTTGACTTTGACTTTTATTTGAGTGTCATTTAGTTTTTTACAAACTGGTCACTTTGTTGTGGTACTCATAATAGTTAATTAACAAAATTAACCGTATTAGCATAACGAATTATCAGTTGCCATTTATATTTAACAAATTATTAAAGTATGTTTAGAGCAACAAATACAATTATTTTACAAATGTGTAAATAGTGTACAAAAGTTGAAAAAAAGTCAATATTTTAATTTATTTACAAAACTGAATCATATATGTGAAGTTAATAAAATAGAAGAAAAAACGCAATTTAATAGATTTGTTAGTGCAATTAAAAAACCACTTTAAATATAATATAATTGATTTAATTATCAATTAATTGTTAAATATGAATTATTTTTATTTAGTTTTTATTAAATAAAATAATGTTGCTTAAGTCTTTTTATAAATACAAATGCAATTCAAATTTGTAACAAGACCTTCAACACCTTGGTATAAAAGGAAATAAACATAAATACCCATAAATAGAGTGAATCACATAATTATTATAATTTTTTTTATTATTTTGCGCTAGTGCCAAATCTGAACTGTGATTTTTGCCAAACAGCTGAAGCCAACTTTCACCATTAACAAAAATAAGCATAATAATAAAAGGTCTGTTTTGTTGTTGTTAATTTTTGGCTAAATAGCGGAATGAAATTGACTTTACAACAATATTAAGCAACTTAATGAAAGAACTGAAGCAGGCACATGGACAAAAAACAGAAGTTGGTACATAAACAGTTAAATAACAAGCAACAACGAGAAGGTGTAAAAAACGGTCATTAAAAAACAACTAAAAGGTCTGTTATAAGCCCATGACGGGTCTTGGTCTTGATCTTGATCTTGAATCTTGAATCTTGAAAATTCAAAGGCTGAGGCTAATAAATGGAGAGTCGCTTAGAAAAGAGCCAAGACTTGAAATTTTAACATTCATTGGATTTTGGAATGATTAATTCACAAGCTAATCGAACAGTTCCGCAGACCAATTAACACACATACAATCAAGCAGAAACAAACACTTGTATCTTGTATCTTTTTTTGAATGCGGAAACGCAGCACAGATACACAGATACATAAATTGATGGAAAGATGGAAAAAAGACAACAAAACAATTTGTGCTGCAGCAGTTTTTAGTCGGCCAAGTTCAGTTTGAGTTGCTAATCGTGTAGGAAATTATAAATTTGATATACTCAAGTTTCCATTTAATAATAATTTGAGGTAATCTTTTTTATGTTTTTATGTTTTTCGTCTCGTTCTTTGTTCTTTGTCTGCAAAATGAAGTGGTTTTTCTGGCTAGATGAGTTTTTTTAAATTTTTTTTTTTGGCATCTCTAAAGCCGTTTGAGATTGTCGGAAGTCAGTTTTTATTAATTGGTTTGGCTTCAGGGCAGCACTCTTAGTTGCCAGTCAGTTTTTGGCAGCTGGTTTAATTTTTTAATTTCGTTTCTATTTGCATTCGACTTGCTGCTTTTATTCGCACTAATAAATTTTATTGGCTAACGCATTCTAAGTGCGATTGATGACAACTGATTTTGACGGAGCAAACAAATATTTGTATTTGTTTTAAGAACTTGTGCAAAAAGTAAAAATGCTCTAGATGGGAGAGCCTGACTAGGAGATACCCTGTAGACGGCGGACTATATATTTATCTATATCTATATCTATATATATATATATCTATTTTTCTGTCTATATCTATATCTATTCTAAGTCGACTCTGCTTTTGATGCTAATCAATAATATATAATTTCCTTCTCCCTGTCACACAATTTAGCACAACTTCAATATACCCTCTTTCGCATTTCTAATGTGTTTATGGAATACACATACATCACCAAGAACAAGAAAATTAATCAACAAGTATCTGAAAAACATTCTAAAAGTTGAAATCAATTTTGAATGCCTCTTTCAATGCTGCAAGTTCTTTGCTAACAAATTTATGCAGATATGCAAATAAAACGCTTGATACAAAAAACATATTAATTATATGCTGATGGTTTTTTTCGTTTTTTTTTTTGTTGTTTTTTTGCTTTGACGGTCGCGCAGATGTATCTGCAGTTTAGTTCAAGGCAATCGAGGAGCTGGTTGCTTGCAATTTGTGGATTCTGAGTATGCCGATTAGGTATAAGTCAGCGAACAAGACCCACTTGAATTAACTCAAGCTGCTGGGTTAAGAATAAATCAAGCAAGACTAAACAGTAGCATCCAATGGGGCAGCCATGATGTGGCAACAAATTGTGTGTGCGTTGCGGCAAGGTCAATGGTGGTGGGCCCAAGTGCCACATGATTTTTCAATCATAATTTTCTATAAGCTGCCAAAGACTAAACAACAAAGTATTCAGCTTGTGCATGGCTCAAGGCCAGCGTCGGGTTTTCAATTCGAGCCAAGAACTTTTGGCAGTCAGTGTCGACTACTTGTCTGGGTCTCGACTCTGGTTCTGACTCTTTGCGACTCGAGTCGAGTCTCCATCTCAGTCTTAGTCTCTGGTCGTGGGTGCTTGCGGCTTGGCATTGAAAGTCAGCCAGATTGACTTCAACATTAACATTCAGCAATAACATTAATGCTAGCTGCAATTCGTTAATGATTTTCACGATACCCTTTCTTGTTGGGGTTGTTTGCTTTTGTGTGTAGATTAAAAACAAAAATAAAATCCACCGCATGGTGCAAATATTTAAGTGGAATTTTATATAGTTAGCAAAGTCTCTGGCAAAGTTAGAGTATTTCATATTTAAATTAATAATTTAAATGCAATAAGATCACAAATAATATCTAATACTTACTCTTCTCAAGTATGTATTAAACAATTACTAATAAAACTACTGAGAGTATTCAATTGCAACCCAGAAAAAAAATACCTGAAACTAGTTAAGATATAAAAACATGACACCGTTTGTAGCTTTACGATCTGAGCATTTCTTTCAACTTGCCAGTAAGTGTATTAAGTCTTCGTCACTTTGAACCTTCTGAAACCTTCTTCTTTAATGTGCCACAATTTGCGCAGCAATCAATGAGGCACAATCACAAATTGTTGCAAGATATAAAGCGACATATAAATTATCTCGAGTTGTTAACGCAATTTAAAAGCAGCACACAAAAAATAATATGCTGTTGCTAGTTTTTTTTATTATTATTTTTCAAGTTTTGTCAACACGCTGGTCGGCAACGAGCACAGCAGCAACAACAGCAAAGACAACAACAATAAAAATTCACAAACCAATTTGAAATGCGAAAATCATAATGAATAGCATCTGGAGGAGCCGGTCAAATTATTTGAAATGCGTTTTGTTTTGTTTCATTTGGTGTTGTGCTTGGTTTAGTTGTGTTTGTCTTTTTATTATTATTTTTGGTATTTTTGCACGTCGGAAATTTTGATTGTTACCTTTTAAACATGCAAACTTCCGACGAATGGGCTGGTCAACAAGAGGCAAGCAGAAGAAGCAGCAGCGAGTCGCACACTGAGTGATGAATGAGGAGGGGAGCGAGGGGGGACGAGGGGGGACGAGGGGATGCGCAACAACTGACTAATTTTGGGTGTTGCTTTATTTTTACAATTCGTGTTGACGGTTGAGTTTTTTCCATTTTTTCTTCTTTTTTCTTTTGAGTGGGTTACATAAAATCATTATTAGATATCTCGCAAAAGAGTGTCCAAGTATGTAAGTGTGTGTGTGTGTGCGAGTGTGTATATGTGTGTGTCATCATTTTAATTAATGCAACAAAATGACAAAGCCAACAGAGCGTATGAGCAACGTGCGACATCTCAGCTACATTCAGTATACGCACACATCTAATTTGTATCTGAAAAAACCCCAAGAAGCCTATTTATGTTTACCGACGTGTTAAACTAGTGTAACATATTACAAATTAACACAACACTTTTACATTATGACGGCCTTGATTGTTTCTTCTCACATGTGAGCACACACACGAGCACACACACACACACACACACACACACACACACATATCGAAAATGTTGTGTGTCTATTTCTATAATTCAGTGTCGCAAACAATTTTCACACGTGAACTGGCTTTCAGCTGGAAACAACTTGCACTTCACAAAACATAAGACGAGGAGGAAAGCTCTAGTTTGGAGTGCTAAGCTTCAAGTTGCTCTGTAAGATTTGTGAAAAATGCACTGGAAAACTATTTATTTCTATCTTAAGCTAAACAAAAACAGGAGCTAATATTTGTATTGCTATTTCCTGATTTGGGTATCAATTTACCTGTGGAACTTTTTACTTTATACAAGAAATTGCTATGCTACATCATTAGATAATGGACTATATTATTATTTCTCTCTTTGCATTCTTTGCTCATTATTTCATAATAAAAAAAATTGAACGTTTATTATTTTTAGCATTATTATGACAATTTCTGCAAATTTGTTTTGGCAAACAGTTCATCAAGATTGAACTGGTTGTCAAACAATGCTCAACAATGTCAATGGCGTGTTTCTTGTATGTATTTATTATTCATGTGTGGCTAAACGCTCGTTAGCTGTCTGTCAGCCAGTCTACAATTCGCACACGGCAGATTGAGACCTATTTATAACTGGTTTCATTAATTCATATTCATATATTCTTATGGCTATTTTTGCAGAGTTATTCAATCGTGTTATTGGCATGCAAAAACTTTGGGGCACACGCATTGGCATCAATCGCGTCTGGCAAGGAACAGCGCCACGTGTTCTACTCTTCGAGCCCGAAACTGTGGAGGTAAGTAGAAATACAGAGAGAGAGAGAGAGAGAGAGAGAGAGAGAGAGGGAGTCTATAACAAGGCTTACTTTGCAGCCCATACTGAACAGTCAGAAGTTTGTGAACAAGAGCCACGACTATGATTACCTGCATCCCTGGCTGGGCACTGGACTCCTCACCAGCACCGATCGCAAATGGCACTCCCGCAGAAAGGTGAGCTTCAAGTTTAACAAGCAGTTAAATCACTATATATATAGTATGCAGCTTAAGCTGACCTGTAATTAGTAGTTCGATATCGATACAGGGTTCATTTGAAAAGGTTTATCAGAAAACAAATTTACCATTACTCACATAAATACTTGGCGCTTATTTTCGACAAGTCATTAACTTTTGAAGCTCATAAAACACAGCTTTAAATTAACTTATATATTTTTGAAAACAACGATTTACTGCAAAGCAAAAATGTTCAACAAAACACAACCCCATAATCGGGAATAGTTCGATACCCTCCATTAGTAAGACACAACACAATTATTCATAGATACCTTAACATTAATTATATGTATGCAAACACCCCAGACGGCGAAGAAACCAGCAAATATTATATCATAATATAAAGATACAAAAATGAGAAATTGCAAACACCTTTGTTAAACTTTCAAACAACAATTGCAAACATAAATTCACTTCTTCAAAGAAGATTAAGATTACCTTTACTTAGAGATCTTTCTAGAAGACCGTTATCCTTTAGTTAAGTAACATTCGTTTCCATTCTTCAAAATTATAATTTAACACTTAGCATCAGCTTTAAGGAACATTTATTGTAAATGATTGCTTTTATATTTTTATCGCAATTGTAGAAATAGACCTACTATTTACTATATATGCTTCTATGCCCTTATACCATTTTTACAGATCTTGACGCCCGCCTTTCATTTCAAGATATTGGATGATTTTATAGATGTATTCAACGAGCAGAGCGTCGTCTTGGCTCGCAAATTGAATGTCGAGCTGGGCAACGAGGCGTTCAACATTTTCCCCTACGTCACACTCTGCACTCTGGACATTGTTTGCGGTGAGTGTCAATGTTACACATACTTATAGTCATATATATATATCCATATATGTCATATCAAATAACCGGTTGGTTTAATTGCATCACAGAAACTGCCATGGGTCGCAAAATCTATGCGCAAAGCAACAGCGAATCGGAGTACGTCAAAGCCGTCTATGGGTAAGTTAAAGATGCCAAACAAACCAAAAAAATTATACTAAATAAAAATAATAATAATAATAATAATAATAGTAATAATACTTGAAACCAAAACTAGAATTCAATATGACAATCAAGATTTTGTAATAATATCGAGAGCTGTCAGCGCAACTGTCAGTGGGTGGTTTGGGTGAAAAACTTTCCCACACACGCCCACATTTCCCATTAGCGTGTGTGCGTGTGTGTGTGTATGTGTGTATATTTAGGGTGTTCTCTGCTCAAGCGCAAAATATGCGAGATTAAGATGTCAATGGATGCTGCTGCTGCTGCTGTTGCTTCACTCGCTGATAACATGCCTCATAAAGCACACAGACAGACAGACAGGCAGACAGACAGACAGATAAACAGGCAGACAGACAGACAGACAGATAGTGTAAACACTTGACTAACTTTCAATTTAATGCAACACTTTCCTTGGAACACCCCCCTTTCGAACAGCATTGGCTCCATTGTTCAGAGTCGTCAGGCAAAGATTTGGCTGCAGAGCGATTTGCTTTTCCGCCTCACCGAGGATTACAAGACGCATCAGAGTTACATTAACACGCTCCATGGCTTCTCCAACATGGTGATTCGTGAACGCAAATCTGAGCTCGCTGACAACAACAACAACAATAACAACAATAATAATGCCGAGATGCCCGACGCTTACGATGATCTGGGCAAGAAGAAGCGTTTGGCTTTCCTCGATCTGCTCATCGATGCCTCCAAAGATGGCACCGTCTTATCCAATGTAAGTAAATGTCGCTCTTTTAAATAGTTCCTTAAACTAACTAAATATTTATTGAAGATAGATTTAAGTACACTCAGCAATAAAATAATTTTTTGTTGCTTTTATTTTGTGCGAACAATCAGAATTAATGATCTTTACTTATTTGATTTATGTTGCTTTTGCATTTAGTTTCCTTCAATTGACAAAAGTTGTTAACTATAACTAAATTTTGAATACATCATTTATTTTCAACAGGAAGATATACGCGAGGAGGTGGATACATTTATGTTTGAGGGACACGACACGACTTCAGCTGCCATTTCCTGGACTCTATTCCTCCTTGGAGCAAACCCAGAATATCAGGAGCGCGTTTACGAGGAGCTGGAGTCCATTTTTGGCGATGATACCGAAACACCTGCAACCATGAAGAATCTGCTTGATATGCGTTATTTGGAATGCTGCATCAAAGATGCCCTGCGACTGTTCCCCAGTGTGCCAATGATGGCTCGCATGGTGGGCGAGGATGTGACTATCAGTAAGTGATAATAGATTGGTTAAATTGGCCCATTTATGGTTTGCTTACAATCATCTTGTCAATATCAGGTGGCAAACTTGTACCCGCTGGCACTCAGGCGATTATCATGACTTATGCGCTGCATCGCAATCCGCGAATCTTTCCCAAGCCGGAGCAATTCAATCCGGATAATTTCCTCCCCGAGAACTGTGCCGGACGCCATCCGTTTGCCTATATACCCTTCAGTGCTGGGCCACGTAATTGCATTGGACAGAAATTTGCCATACTGGAGGAGAAGGCTGTCATTTCGACGGTGCTGCGTAAATTTAAAATTGAGTCTGTCGATCGCCGGGAGGATTTGACGCTATTGGGTGAACTGATCTTGCGTCCCAAGGATGGACTCAGAGTGAAGATTACGCCACGCCATTGAGCAGAAAGTGCGGCTGAATAGATCCAAAGTATTTAACTTGTAAATATTTAGTTATAGTCGACTCTTAAGTAAATCGATATGCTAAATTAGCAGATAACCCTTTGACCTCTGTGGAATATACATGTATTTACATATACATATATATATGTAAAACTTTCAACTCAGTGAACCAATATTGTTTAGTTTGTAATGCTATGCTTAATAAAAAGATTTGATTTATAAAAAACCAAAAATTGTGTTTTTATTGCATATAAATTGTTACAACTAGTGTCTTAGACTGATTTTCAGCATCTGTTTATTTATATTTTCCATTTTTATATTTATCTATTATTTATTTTTATTTGTTAATTGTTTTTGCAGTATTCAGTGAATTTATAGAATAGCTTTGTAAGCATTGCAATTAATCTTCCAAGCGTAGCTTGACTAAATACAGATGAAATATTTCTCTCCTAAACTCTGTACCTAAATATCTAATTCACATTGACTCTGAGATGAAATGTACCAAAAGTGCACGTTTGGTACAACATCGTTTCACACATATAGCATGGACACCAACCAAAAATGGAGCAGATCAGCAATTCCACACACCCGACGCACCAAAATGCTATAGATGGCGCCACTAGTACGTTTGTAGCATGCACAAATGCTAATTAGAACATTGTTGAACCGCTCTGCACTCGAAACAATTACCAACGACTGCCTTTGGAAAATTGAAAATGTACAATCAACAAGTCATCAACGAAATGGCGCCATGTGGCCACGGACGGGTGTGTGTATGTACGAATGTGTGTATTTGTTGCTGCTACTTGTGGCCCGTTTCCTTTTCGCAATTGGAGCGGCGCCAGGGCTTAAAAGCAACTTAAGTGCGCTTAGGCTGTGTAATGCACAAATAAATGCGAGCATGGAAAGCGAAGTCGTGGGGGGGGGGGGGAGTTTATATAAATATATATATGTATCTAAATGGATATTATGGGCATATGTGGAGCGCAGTCGAAGGCGGGAACATGAGCGTTAAATAACTCCTAGATAACTAGATCGATAGGTTACCCAGAGACAGATAACCAGACAGAGTTGGAGGACGCGTCGGAGGGGGAGGAGGAGTCGGGGCAGCAGCAGCGACGAATAGGCAAACAATCAATTAGAATGGCAAAATCTTTGCTAAATATTAATAATCCACACAAACGCAAAAGGGTCTTAAAAACTAATTCCACACCAGCGAGACAAGCAAAGAAAAAAGTACTATAAAAAATGCTCCGATTGAAAAATGGCGAATTTTTTGCTTATACAAAAAAATGTGAAGTGAAGGAAATGCACTCGATTCAAATAAATTGTGCACGGAACTCGACCATGGTCACTGTATAGAAATCGAATCAGTCAGCAGTTGGCAATTGCTGTATTGAATCATAAATTGTCATAAATCGATTGCCAATTGCAGTTGTTGCAATTGTTGTCATTGCAGTTGCAGTTGTTTTATTTTCATTTACGAGTTTACAATATCAGCGATGATTATTTATTTTGTTAGTTTAATGACGGTCTTAAAAAGCAATCGATCAATTTTGGTTTGATTGCCATCGAGTTGAGTGTGTCCACCAAATTTGTCACATTCCTTCAACTAGGAGTCGGGCATTTTGAGCATATGCCACATTTACGTGCCAAGTTACTACAAATTTGTATGCTTCGTTTGCCCCAGCAACTATTGCGGGTATGTATTTTGTTTGTCAAAGCATTCACTTTGAATCTACAACTAGATATTTGCAATTGAAAAGCAATATAAATAAAACAGACGTGCCGTAAATTGCCAACCAGAATAATCTTTTCGTTTTCATTTTCAAACCGTACTTTTTGATGCTACAATTTGAGAAAGCACAAAACCTTTCCACTTTTAAAACGAATTGAACATTTTGCATAAAAACCCTTTAATTTTAAGTAAATATTAATTATTTATAGAAAAAATGAGCAGAAATGAATTATTTTTCATCTAATCTATAAAAACTGAAATAAAATAATAAAATAAATTTTTAAATAATAATTTTGTGCACACAACTTAAATTATATGTGTGACAAATTTTTGTATGTGTTTGTTTTAATTTTTTCTTCACTTATTATATGGATTAACTTATAAGGGTTATCATGGTATTAATATTAAGATTAGCGTGGTGCGTCAGAGATTGATAATTATGGATGGAACAAGTTTGAATGCTTATTATTTTGTTTATTTTTGCTTCTTACAGCACACAAAATCGAAAACAGTTGATCAATAAAATAAAAATAAAATTAAACTTAATATATATAAATTTTAGATTATACCTTAAAATTCACAAATGAAAACCCTGCTTTTTAGAAATACACTTTCTGGATAATAAGTTTAGTTACCCTCTGGACGTTGGACGTTGATATTAATGTTTTAAAACCATTTTATGTTTACGTTATAGACTTTAATTTCCTGTCATTATTAGTACGATTTGAAATTAATGTTTTGAAATGTAAATTAATGTATAAAAGCTATAAAAAAAAGTTATCCCTGCCGATTTTTTTCTGACTGTAAACACTTGTGCACTCTGCAACTACAGCCACAAATGCTGACATGAGCATATGCTTTCACTGCTACCAAAATACGCAATACAATCCATGTCTGTTTCATAGGCATACTAGGAACTCCCAGCACACGCCGCCAGACACTCGCACAGACAGACAGACAGACCGACAGAGCGACAGACAGTCAGGCAGGCAAGAGAGCAGAAGTAATTATGCATTGTCAACGAACGTCACTTAAACGAATTGCGCCTGGCACATCAAAACAAATTGCACTCCCCTGTGTATAACACACACACACTCGCACTCACACACACACTCACACACACAGACACATGCACACACAAATCTGATTAGAAAAACATTTACAAAACGCAAATCGCAAGTTAGCAACAAGAGGGAATGGGATGGTAGATGCTACACTCAAAAAAAATCGCCCTTAATTTTAATTAATTAATCGCCTTGAAAACTAGACAAGTTTTTCTTTAACTTTAATTTCTAATAATTTTTAGAGAATAAATTCTGCCAATTAATAATATGAGGCAACAAGAAAACAACTTGAAAATTTCACATTTTTTCTCAATTTTAGAAATGAAGAAAATTAAAGCGCTGATTTATAGAAATATACTTTCTGAATTATAAGGTGAGTTACTATTGGGAACTTTTAAGATTCAAGGCAATTTGTTTTTCTTCTTTGCTCTTTGTTTGTTTGAGTGTAGATGAAAGAAGCCACCCCCTTTTTTTGGCAAAGCATTTGATGTGTGAACTTTGGCACAGGAGGCGAGGAGCGAACCAGGCGCCAAGAACAGGCCTAATTTGATTGACGTTGACGTCACAAAATTGTGGGAACAAAGCCACACAGAAAAATTGGATGGGAAAGAGCGAGTGAAAGTGGCTTTGGCAGTGGCTTTTTTTCTTGTGGCTGTTGCTGTTGCTGGGCAGGTAGCCAAAACGGAGGCAGACAACAACCAGAAGAGGCAAGCAGCGAAGAGCAGCCAGTGTAGAAAATGATATCCAAACAAACTCAATTTGGTTGGCTGCCAGCGCGTTTGATAGATTAGCAGCGAGAACGAAAGAGGCGCGATGTCGACACGTGGCCAAAACACAGGACAAGGAGCAGGAGCAGCAGCAGTAGCAGGACTCGAAGCAGGACTCATTGCGGGGCGTGCGCAGATTCCGATTTGCCATTTGACGCATACAAAATTGATTTGGTCGAGGCACAAGCAAAATATTTGCCTCCATTAAACAGCTGGTGTGTGATATGAACACGGACAGAGGACACGTGCCGTCTTGCAACTGCACTTGCCACACACACACAGAGACACAGTGACACGTGACATCCCGGCAAATTAAACAAGCAGCAAAAGGAAGGAAAGCAAAAAAAAAAAAAAGAAAATAGTAGTTGAAGAAAAAGTTTAACAATGCAGAAAATTGAAAAACAATCAGAACGCAACCACAGCAACTGAGGCCTGGCAGGGCAGGGCTGCTGTGCAAAGTTAAGTGCTGGCATCCTGTGTGGTATGCCTCGCATCCTGCGAGGCAGCTGTGTGCCAGTGCCTGTTTGCTCAGAGCGCGCGTTTCAATTCGTGTCGCTTTATTTGGCCATAATTAGCTTAATGCGCGACGCAAACAAAGCAGGACATACATGTTGCACAGGACACAATTCGATGGATGCGACAGTTGCTGTTGCCACAGTTTCGTGTCCCTTTGCTGCCAAATTGCCAGTCCAATGGCAATGCAAACAAACGCCCTGTAAACGTAACAACAACGTCAACAATATTGACACAAAAAATGGGAGAATACATTTTGTGCTGTAAGCGATGCCTAAATACCCTACAAAATGATCTTAAAACCTGACTCCAGACTATGCCCAACATTTCCATCATTCACATTTGTAACATTTTAGATGTGGGTGGCAAAATGCGAGCTTCATTTAAATAAATCTTTTTATTTGCTATTCCGTTAAATAATAATAAAATAATTAATAATAATAATAAAATAAAAACACTCTTTTCCAATAAATAAGAAACCAATTTTAAAATCAATAAGAATTTTATTTATATTTTGTATGTAGCATTAAATTGTAATAACATATATAAATAAATAAAATTTATTGAATTATAATTGTATTTTAAAGCTTACAATAGTTGAAATATGAACTGTTTGTCACATTGATGTTGTCATACTTTTTATAACATCGATGCGATATGATAAATCATAGCCAAATACACGAACTACTCGTGTTGAATTTCTCACATTCGCATATCACACACTCACTTAATGGCATCTATATATATATATATTTATATATTTTTTTAATTATAAAAAAGTAATTTTATTTGAATTTGAACAAGCATGTAAAGGTACGACCTTTAGTTAAAAATAAAAAGTTAATTTACTTTATTTTAATTATGTTTATGGTTATCTCAACTGTTTTAAAGCGAGTAATTATTAATTACAAAATATTTATGGATTATGGACAATATAAATGATTATTTAAAACTAGCATATTTTATTTTATTGTTTGACAAACTGCTCAACAAATCGTATATATCCCACCCGAAAACACTTCGCTTTCAAAAAATCGAAATGCCGTGGGGGAAAAAAAGTTAAAATCATGAATCCCTTAAAAGGTTCTTAATC